TCCTCCTCCTTCTCCCCCTCCTCCTCCTCCTCCTCCTCCTCCTCCTCCTACTCCTCCTCCTCGATCGAGCTGCGAACATGATCCGTATCCGCGCCGACGTGGTCTGGACTCCAGGGCGCGATCCCGCGGAAGCGCTGTCGCACCGATGCGTTTCCCGCGCGGGGCATGCTCGAAAGGTCGCGGGGGTTCGCGGCCAAGGGGCGCAGCCCGCGAGGCCGCGTGCTTCGCCCACAACCTTGCCATCGCTCGGACGTCCATTCCCTGTACATTTGTCGGTATCGCGCGTGTTTGTTTCGCTCGATGATCAAAGATGTTCCTCGATGGTCCTCGCCGAGTCAAAACGATGCACACGTCCGAGCGACGCCAAACGACTCGCGTCGCGACAACAGAACACCACCAGAAAACTGTTGCTATGGTTGCGGCTGCGGGGGGGCCTTGCCGGGCCCTGGGGTCGAACCGTGAGCAAAATAGAGTGGGTCGAGACCTCCAGGGCCCAAGTTGCGAACAGAAACTCGGCGGCGAGCGAGGAGGGCAGTGCGAAGGAGAAGGCCTTCTCGGAAGGCAGCGGGACTGCTCAGATGCCCTCGCGCCTTCTGGCAGGTTTCTGCGTCGTCGGGCTTGGAAAACTTCTCAGTATATAGGCCGGGGGACTTCCGAACCTTCTGAGAAGGCCCTCTCATTCTCACTTCCCCCCTGGCTCGCCGCCAAAAAACAATGATTGTCGGAGATCTGGGCTAAGTGTTGTGGATGCCATGACAATTGCCACTCTAACATTCCTGCTATTGGATTAAAGATGTGTCTACAATGTGTAAAGCATGTTCCAAACATGTGTCAGACATGTTTTAACCTTTTTTGGAAGACATGTTTGACACATCTTGGAGGCATCTGGAAACCATCAGGCAGCATGCGTCCTCTCCATGGATCGTCCTCCACAGGTTCAGCTGACGCCCTCCGCTTGGCAGCGCGTCCTCCTGCAGGTGCGCCTCCAGGTGCGCCCGCCAGGCGGCCTGCCACCGCCCGCCGCCGTGCGCGAGGCCCCGCACCACGCCGGACTGCGGCAGCTGCACCCAGCGCACGCCCTCCGCGCGGCACCACCGGGCCACGCGGCGGTCGCGCGCGAAGGAGGCGCCGTGCTCCGTCTCCTTGGCACCCCAAAGTGCGGTGTGAGGGGCCGGACCCTATACACCGACGTTTTCCACGGCCCCGCACTGACATTCGCACGAGAAAGCGGTTCCTGGTGTATACGGGATCCCTGGTGTACACATGTTTCGCTGTTTCCCAGAGAAGAGAACGGGGAAAATAGTATACACCACACCCTTCCCACGTCGTCCCCGACCCCCAAACAGTTCTGGGACTGAAAACCAGCCCGCCACTGGTAATGTATATGTTCCAGCTTCCGACGATAGTTGCAGCCCGCGGCCCCAAAAGCCTCGTCCTCTTCCTGCCGAGCCTCCCGCGCGGCAGGTGCCGCCGCTGCGGCCCCGACGGCGCCCCCGCCGCGCGGAACGCGCAGAAGCTGCAGGTCGAGGGGAGCTCCAGACCCCTTCCCTGGGGCACTGCTTCGCTCCAGGGTCGTTGTTGATGGCCCCCGCAGCCCGTAAACGACCCCCTGGAGTGCGGGGAAAGACCGGTCCTGTCGGAAGCCGTGCGTCTGCAAGACGAACTGGCGGAAGCAGAGGTATCACCATGGGATGGTGGAGGGCCTACCCGCAGAATCAGCCAACACCGAATCGGGAACTCGGATCGGATCGCAAACTGCGTCGAATCGGGCTGCATCGGCACGGAACCGACATGGCAGCATCTGGTCGGCTGCGCCAGGCTGCACCATGGCGTCACGCACGCATCGGGCCGCGTCGGGCCGCGCCGGGGAATCGCATTCGAAACAGACGGGGCTTGCCCGACTCGATGTCGCGTCGAATCGGAGTCGGCCCTGCACCCGTGGGCAGCAACGCCCACGGGAAGACCGGGCGGGATCTGAGGTGAGGGGCCCTTCGTAAGGAAGCCAAAGTCAGGTTTCCTTACCAGGGGGTCGTGGATACTTTGCCCGCAGTAAAAAAAAGCCACTTGCGGGAACCCCCAGTCGGCTAAACGCTAGAGTGACACTAGGCAAGAGAGATCGTTAGTGCGCGGCCAAGGGGGAGCCCTTCGGGGACACCGCCAGGCGCGCAAGCCGCTGCTATCCTATCGCATCGCATTCAGCGGTCAGCGGGACCCCGATGAGCCCGCACCAAAGGCCACTCCGGCGAAGGGTCACCCTCACGTGCAGTCGACTGAGCCAGGGATCCCTCATAAAAACAGGGGGTCCTGGGACTGAACCCAAAAGGCACACCCTCGGCGGCCTGGGCTCCTGGTGCGACAGCAGGCGGGCCAGCGGCGACTCCGCGTGCAGGGCGGCCAGCACGTCGGTGGCCTCCCCGCGCCGCACGGTCACGAAGCGGCGGCCGGGCTCCGCGGCCTCCGCGGGCTCGGCGGCCTCCGCGGCGGCGCGGAGGCGCCGCTCCACGTCCTCGGAAGTCGGTGGCAGCTCGTGGGAGCCTCCCGTCTCATCTGGTCGGCTCTTGCGAATCAACGCTGGTCGGCACGAAATCGACGCCAATCGACGCTAAATCGCCGCTAAATCGGCGCCAACCGACGCGACATCGGCGCTATCTCGTCCAGGCCCAGACGCTAATCGGCGCTGGTCGACGCTAAAAGCGGAATTAAGAGGGTATACCAGGCTCCCATGATTTGCTGCCGAATCAGAGGCCTCCCAGGCTGGGTCCGAGTGCAGCCAAGACACTGGCACAAGACATTTGGGTTCGGAGGGGGGCTCGCTGGTCCTTTGGTCATCCCGTGGTTGTTCCTCGAGCACTCATCGTGCACCCAGGCTCTTCTGGTGCCAAGGAGGAGCTTCTCTCCTGATTGAGCGTTCCTTTTTTCAGCAGCCCGACTGCAGATGGGGTCGGAGGATTGCACCGAATCGGCGATGTATCGGCGATGCGTTGGCGACGTCCGCGAAGCAGCGGCGCCGTCGGCGCGAGACAATCGGGCTCCGCCGATGCATCGGCGATGCGGCGCGATCCTCCGACCCCCTCTATGGGGACCCTGCCTGAGAAGCCTGGACTCCTCCAGGCCCTCCGCCACGAACGCCAGGTGGGAGCCGTGCACCGACTCGTGAGCGAGCTGGCTCGGGTATTGCTGGAAGTGCCCACGGTCCGAGCTGGTCCTCGAGCGGGACCCCTGGGGCCCGTCGTCGGGCCCCGGGGACCTGAGAGTGCAGATCCGGTGTGCAAAACTGCCGCCAGGCGCCAGGCCAGGGAGGCGAAGGGGCCAGGACCTCTGGGGCCGCGGATTACAAAACAACTCATGCCAGCGGGTGTCTGGGGAGGCGAGTCTTGAGCAAGGACCGGCCGTCCCGGCATTCCTATAGTGTCCACAAGTGTTATAAGAAAAAGACCACTGTTCTTAGAACATAGACCCGACGTGGTAACACAAGACAGGCCAAGCCAGAAATACTCCAAAAACACTTCGTGCAAACCACAACAAGTTTTTAGAGCATTCTTTGGTGGGCCTGTAGGCCAGCCAACGCGCTTCGCAACTGCTCGAGGTTCTGGACCAAGCTCCTCGCCCCACTATGGAGAACCCCTGGGGCCCTCTGGGCATCGCGAGGGGCACGCGCTATGGAGGCCGTGGGGGCCTCGCTGGAAATTCCGGAGGCACCCTGGGCCATGATAAAGACAAATGGAGAATCGATACAAAATCGCACCGACATACATCGAGTGTCTTTGACCATTGGCGGGCTTGGAGATAGTATCGGGCGTCCCGGCCGTTTCAGAGCGGTTCATCTCGATTTTAGGCCTGCCTGACTTGGACACCTCTGGCAACACCCGGCTGGTCGGGCTCGTACATGAAGAGCATCCGGAATGGCCGCCCCCCCGTTGCGGCCTCCCACAGCGGCGCATGGTCGACCAGCCGGACGTCGCGTTTCAGCCAGACCACGTCCATGCGGCGGGCGGGCGCGGACGCTTCCTCCTCCTGTTCCTCCTCCTCCTCCTCCTCCTGCTCCTGCTCCGCCTCTTCCTCCTCCTCTTCCTCCTCTCGGCTACACGCGAAAAGGGACCCCAGGCAAGAATGACCTTTGGTGCGATGCTATTCGGGGGGCCGCGTGGGGGGGCGAAGACAGGAGCGCAAGACGTCACTACCGTATGGCGTTCGACAAACGGAGGATCCCAGTTGGCCCGCACCAAAGGTCACTCTAGCGAAGGATCACTCTTACGTGTAGTCGCGCCTCCACCTCCTTCTCCTCCTCCTCCTCCTCCTCCTCCTCCTCCTCCTCCTCCTCCTCCTCCCTCTGGGCCCAAACGGCCGGAGCCAGAAACAGCTCTTGGACCCAGCTCGGATGCCAAACAATGCAAGCTTTCTGTCGCAGATGCGCGCAAGCGTGCATCACCTCTGGGCAGAGCCACGGCAAGGCGGCCTCTGCCTTCGAAGACCAGACCCCTGCAACCCAGGAGCACAGAAACGGGGACGCCAATTGACGGGGGGGCTAGCGGCTCCGAAACGGACCCGCTGCGACCCAAGTCAGTGGTCCCTGAACGGAATCTGACCACCGCCAGTACAGTCGGACTTGGTTAGACAGGACACGCGAGAGGACACAAGACCCTTCCGAGGGCCACATCGCCACAGGAATGTAGGAGGCATGGGTCGCGAGGCACAGGACACAAGCGCACCCTTCATTTGGCAGGGTCGACCTACTGATCCGAGCCGACTGTATCCGCCGGCCGCCGGCCCCCAAGTGTGGGGAGCTCGCCCGGTCTGACCAACGCATGCCAACGATCGGTACCGAAAGCTGACCACCCCACCGAACGCGCTTGCTTGACCTCTGCAGACATCAACACGATGAGCGCACGCGCCGCCCCACCGCCCCTGGACACGGCCTATGATGTTGTGGAGCGCCGAAGCGATGCGTCAACAGCTCCAAGTGTAATCACGGACACTTGACATGCAACATATCCTAGCTCTTCCCCCAAAAAGCATAGGCCTTAAAATACCCGGAGCCGTGACCTAGGTTGAGAAGCGAATTGCACGCACTCTCACACCCCCAAACCTCCTGCAAAGCGCAATGAATAGAAAGCGAAATCACAGCTCCGATCCACCTTTACATGAACGCATCCGCACTCCCAGGGCCAAGACCGCCGTAGACGCCAGTGAGTAATTCAACTGTGGAGGTGAAGAATGTGTTGTGGAAGCCATGAAGTGCAAGCTAGGTAATGTAAGCCTTGCGGTGTGAGCTACGGGATGAACGCGGTGCTGTGCAAGCTATGCTGTGTAAGCTATGTGGTGTATGCTTACAGTATATCGTATCTGGTGTGAGCTGTGTTGTGTAATGAGTGTGGTGTGATCTATGCTGTGTGAGCTAGGTGGTGTGGGAAACATGGTGTGAGCTGCGTTGTGTCATGGTGGGAGCTACGTGCTGAAAGCTACGCCGTGCAAACCATGTTGTGCAAGCTAGGGTGTGCAAGCTCTGTGGTGTAAGCCATGTGGCGTGAGCCATGTGGTGTGGGGCGCCCGCGAGACGGCACGGGCGCGAACGAGGCGGAGCGCAGGAAAGCCCACCCAGCGCACGAGAGGGCACGGGCGCCCACGCGGCGAGCCCTCGGGAAACCCGTCCAGCGCACGCACCGCCCAAGAGGCGCCCACGAGCGAGCACGGGCGCCAGCGCGGCGAAACCCCGGGGAACCCACCGAGCAGGAGGAGCAGCAGGAGCAGAGGGCTGGCGGCTGCGCACGGGCCACGAGGCCGGAGGGAAGGAGCGCGAGGGCGAGCAGGCAGGAGCAGGAAGGAGCACGGAGGGCGAGGAGGAGCAGGAGGTGCGGGAGGAGCGGGAGCAGCAGCGGCAGCAGCAGCAGCAGGAGGAGCAGCACATCTTGCCAGCGCGAGGAGGTCGCCCCGTGGCTGTGGGACGCAACGATCCTCTGATCTGTGCCCTCGCAGCGTCAAAGAGAAGCAGGGCCAGGGAAGGAGAGACGACGGCAGGCGGAGCAGCAGCACCATCCGGTGGAAGGGCCTCCTCGGGAGGCCAGGTCGGCGCCCCAGGAGGGGGCGCCGCTCCATCCAGGCGGCGGCGGCGGCTGCCCCGGGCGCGGGCCGCCTCGTCGATGAAGTTGCGCTCGCAGCGCAGGAACAGCGGCTGCGTCTCCTGCCAGCGCACGGCCGCCAGCTCCCGTCCCTCCTCCTACAGCTCCACATCCTCCTCCTCCTCCTCCTCCTCCTCCTCTCCTCCTCCCCCTCCTTCTCCTCCTCCTCCTCCTCCTCCTCCTCTTCCTTCTCCTCCTCCCCCTCCTTCTCCTCCTTCTCCTCCTCCTCCTCCTCCTCTTCCCTTCTACTCTTCGTTCTCCTCGACCTCCTGCCTCCCCCTGCCTCCCCCATCATGCCTCCTCCTCCTCCTGCCTCTTCCCTCCCTCCTCCTCTTCCACCTCTTCCTCTTCGAGAGCCTAGCTGCATGTTGCCCAAGCCTCTTTCTCTTTGTCCTCTCTGTCTCATCGTCCTCCCCCTACTCCCTCTCGTCGTGTTCCTGCCGTTCCTCTCAATCCTGACTTTCTTGGCGTGCTCGTCTTCCTATCTCGTCACCGCACCCGGCGATGCGTCGCCAGGGACTCCTCACCAGACCCCAGGCGTCGTGACTCATTCACAACCTGGACCCCGAAACGTCTCGGAGCTTTCCCAGGACCCGCTTTTCATCCCGAGTCGTTGTTTGACGGCCCCAGGGCTTTGCGATAGCCCCCAGAGGCAGAAAAAAAACAAAAAAAGGGCCGTCGAGATATTTGCTTTACGGCGCGAGGGGGTCTGAGTTCTCCGTCCCCCTTCGGGGGCCGCCAGGGTCTACCCTGGGGCGGGGCCAGCCGAGGCCCGCCAGGACTGCCTCCTCCCGAAGCCGCATTTGCGCAGCAACCCACGCCCTGCCGGCAAAGCCACCGCACCGCGCTCGGACAAGAGCGACGGGGGCAACAAGGCACGCGCGCGCAGAAGGCTGCGCCCCCCAACACGTAGACGAGCGCGTTCCACTACTCGCAAAGTAACTACTCGCAAAGTAACTACTCGCAAAGTAACTACTCGCAAATGGGTCCGCCGCGGGGGATCTACGATACATCTCATCGAAGCAAACTTCTGTTTTTTGGTTCGGACATTTGATTGCGAAAAGTAGAACGCGCTTGGTCAACACAGGAAGCGTGCGTCGGCCGGCGCCGTCGCCAGCCGTCGTGCTGTTGTCGGCCAGCCGGCTCGAGCCACGTGCGCGGCCGCAGGCGCCCGGAGGCGGTGCCCGACTCCATGCACCTCACGGAGCTGCGCGAGGCGCCGCGCCGCCAGCGACGCGAAATCGGCCACGCTGCCAAAAAGCGCAACGTACGTCCTGCAGTACAGTTGGGTCGTTGACCTAAGGAACCCTAAATGAGGAGCGAGGCCCTTTCTGCTCACTAGTTAAACTTCGACTTCCCATCGAAAGACCTACAGAAAACCTATAGCAAACTGTGAAACAATTAAGATACACGGAGCCCCTCCCCAACGAAAAGGGTTCCTTCTTCAGCGCCCCGACAGTAGGAGCAAGGCCTGCCTCTGCGCAGGCAGCCGCCGTGGGCAAACAGCACACGTCGAGGCGGCCATGAAGCTCGTCGCCTACCAGGGCCCTCCGTGCCAAGATCCGCCGAACCCCCGCTTGCCGGGGGTGAAAAGGCGTGTGAGGCATTCCCAAAGATCCGCCGTCGTGATTTTTTCAATGCGGGGTCCCCGGAAGTCTCGACCCATTCCCCAGGGCCGATTTTTCATCCTGAGTCGTTTTTGGACGGTCCCGAGGCCCGGTGGGGGCCCCGAAAAGCCGAAAATTGAGAAAAACGTCCGTCTTGATTTTTTCAATATGTTGGATCTCTGGGTTTGGCTGCCCCCCTTCACCCTTTCCCCCTCGCCTGGGGTCCAAAATGCCATTTGAGGGTAGGGGGGCAGGGGCGAGGGCGGACGAGCACCCAAACGCATCCCTGGGGCCTCCTGAACCTCTCCAGGACCCCAAGATGGCGCATGAGGCCCACAACAGCACCAAAACAGTCCAAGAAACCGATTCATATCGCTCAAGGTAGCTCCACGACGACCCTGAATGGCTTCGAGACGGCCCAATGAGCGTCCAAGACGGCCCAAGAATGCTCCCAGAAAACCGCCGAGAGGGCCCCCAGAAGCGAAAATCGTCCCATTCCATTGACAACAATTAATGTTTTAGCGTGCTCGCCTGCTTCGTCCTGACACGGGCGAAGACGGCCCAAAGGGTTTGCAAGATCGTCCCAAGACGGCCAATGAGGCCCGCAAGAAAGCGACGTGACGGCCTAACAAGCCCCCAAGACGGCCGCAGGGGCCCCCCAAGAGGCCCCAAGAGAGCCCCAAGAGGGCCCGGGCCTAATAATGGGGATACGAACTGACCTGTCGAGCCTTTCTTCCCAAGATGGCTCCACGAGCCCCCCGACGCCCCCGCGGCGCCTGCAAGAGGCCCCAAGAGGCCCCCAAAGGGCCCCCAAGAAGCCGCCATGAGACCCCCAAGAAGGTCCCCAATGCCCACCAGATGCCCCCAAGAGCCCTCCAAGAGGCCCCTGAGAGGCATCCCACGAGCCCCTCATATGATTCCGAGAAACTCCTGACCCACCAGGTAACTTCAAAGATCGTCGCAATCACTCGCTCCTTCCGGGGGTCGGCGGAATCGCGCAAGCTTCTTGAATGAACCTGCTGCTCTGCTGCGGAACCCCTGGCGGACCGTCGAGGACGTGGGCGGGCAAGGGCAGCAGCATCAGCTGCAGATTCTCCAAGGCCCTGCGGCGGCAAATTCCAGCGGTTCCGGCATGAGCGGGGGGAAGCGATAACGACACTAACAACTAGAACGACCACAACGATCGTGCGCGTCGTTGTCGTTGTCGTGGGCATCGTTGTCGTTGTTATCGTTGACACGAACAGGTTCGGCCGGCTGCGGCGAGCGCTGGCAGCGTGCAGTAGGACGCACCGCCGCGCCCGACGCGCTGTCGCGGCTCATGTCCGTCATTGTGACATGGCCGGTGGTTGGGGATTGGGCGGGGTGGATGCACGGCCACGGCGCGCGCAAGGGTGTATGTGGCGAGGGGGGCGTTTTCCAACAAGATACCCGAGGCTTCTTGCTATAGATGTACCACGTGCGTAGCAGGCCGTTCCATTCTCGGAGGCTCCCCAGGAAGGCTTCTTCATCGTCAGGGTGCTTTTTCAGATGTGGTTTGCGATTGCCCCCTTCAGGAGGCTGCCCTCTTTCACCCCGCGCCCTCCTGCGTGCCGCCGACAGCCCTGAGATGAGACGTCGCGAACTAGTTGCACCATCGCAGGACATCACGACCAGAGCCCCAGGCCCAATCTTTCTGCGGAGTATCTCGACCGGGATCGGCCGACGAGGAATTCAAAGCCCGAGACCGGGCGAAAGCGCCAGGTGTGAAATAAATTGAGACGCCTCGGTCACAGGGAGGGTGCAGTTGCCCTCCTTCCTCGTCCTCGGCCTCCTCCCAGACCCCACCCCTCGGCCTCCTTTTCTTTATTTTCGGCCTAGGGGGGGGCCAAACTGGGCCCCAGGACAATCAAAGAACGATTCAGGACTAAAATCTGGTCCTGGGGAATGGGTCGAGACCCACAATGTGAAAAAATGTAACGACGGGGGTTTTGGTCCTGGTCCTGTTTTTTTCTGCCCCACCCCCGTCCTCCTCATACTCTCACTCCTCCCCGAGCGGCGACGACGGACCGACCGACCGACGGACTGACTGACCAGCGACGACGGACCGACCGACCGACCGACTGACAAAACGACTGAAGGGACAAGACGATACTGACACCCTTACGCCCCTGACCTCTGCAGGGGGGCGTCCTGACAGAAATCTCGGGGCGAGCTCCGACGCGGCGACGATAGAAGGGAAGCAGCATCGCCGAACAATTACAACGCCGCGGGCAAAAAGCACTGCTTGAGCCCTGGGCCCCATCTCACTGCTGCATTCTCCGAGCCGAATCTATCTGTGATGGCCCCTGGGCCCGATGTCCTGCGAACGCGCCACGAAAGCGGACAACAATGCAGCGCCCGGACCTCAGGGCTTGCCTCCCACGGAGGAGCGACGACGCGGGCACCGTCTCCTCCCCAGACCCCCGATGTCGTGATGTTGTTCCAATCCTCGGCGCATGCACAAGCTTTCGACACCGCTTCGATCGTTCCACCTTGAATCGATCGCGGCCCCGATCGGTCAAGAGTGAATTCCGTCGGATCCAGAGGCGTGCTTGGGTTCCTCGGTGCTCCCGCGTCGCACAATTCAACCTTGAACGCTGTCAACGGCGTCGCCGGCGCGCCATCGCCGCATGAACCTACTGTACCAGACCACAATTTCGGGTTGGGGGGCGTACGGGTTCCATCTGTGAGTCTTTGCTTCAGCATGTTCCGGATGGCTCCCCCCCCCAGCTGGGCATGGAGGGCATCTTGGGGCCTTCCGGTTGGGTGACCCCTTCCCCGGGACCGGCCTCTCATCCCGAGCCCTTAAGTTGACGGCCCCGAGGCCCGGACAGGGCCCCCGGAGGCCGAAACGAGCGAAACGAATTCCCAACGCGAGGGGGTCCAGGCCCCGTGCGCGACCACGGGCGGCAGCAGAAAGCGACGAGCGGCGACCGGGACGGAGGTCGGCGGCGGCGGCCCACGGCGCGCCGTCGGCCCTCTGACGAGCGGGTAGACGTCGCCCTCCTCGCGGCGGCCGCGGCCCTTCCTGCACGGTGCTCCTCCCTCCCTCCCCCGCCGCTGCCCCTCCCCTGCCCTCCTCCTCCGCTCCTCCTCCCCCCCCCTCCTCATCTTCACCTCCAGCTCCTCCTGCTCCTCCTGCTCCTGCTCCTCCTCCTCCTCCTCCTCCTCCTCCCTCCTTCCCCTTCCTCCCTCCTGCTGCTGATGCTGCTGCTGACTGTTGCTCCTCCTCCCGTGCTTCGTCTCCCCCCTCCCCTCCCTGTTCTCTCCTTGCTCCCTTGCCTCTTCGCCACGGCCGCGGCCCCGGCCGCACTTTCCCCTCCGCCAGCCCACGGCCAGGCAGGAGCCGAGAGAGCGCCGCAGCGACCCCGACGGCCGAGGCCGAGCCAGCCGGCCAGACACGCGGTGGACACACGACATCGACGACGACGACGACGACGACGACGACGACGTCGGCGTCGACGTCGACGTCGACGTCGACGACGTCGACGACGACGACGACGACGACGACGACGACGACGACGACGACGACGACGACGACAGCGACGACGACGACGACGACGACGACGACGACGATTACGACGACGACGACGACGACGACGACGACGACGACGACGACGACGACGACGACGACGACGACGACGGCCCATGTCGAGCCAGCCGGCCAGACCCGAACCTCGGGCGCGGCCCAACTGACCCCTGGCGAACCAGCCCCTTCCAGGACGTCATCCTCGCCTTTCAAGCTTCTTTCGGTCGCACACAGACGTCTTGGGGCTAGGCGAGGGGGGGCGTCCCGGAAGGGGATGATTGCGGGGGGTCGGTTACGCCGCCGCTGAGAACACCCGGGCTCTTCGGGCTGCGTCGGCGCTTCGCCGCGAACTGCCATGTCCTGCGCGGCCGTCGTCTGTGGCAAATTGTGGGAGTCTCCCGGGTCATGTGGCTGGCTCTAGCGAATTGGCGATGGCCAACGCCCATCGACGCAAATTGACGATCGTCGACGCTAAATCGGCGCTAGATCGGCACTTTCTCATCGATTGCCAAGCGCTAGCGCCCGCTGATGCGCTCTATAGATGACACTCGGCGGACAAACGACATCGACAACGAAGCCGTCGAATCGACGACGACGACGACGACGACGACGACGACGACGACGACGGACGACGACGACGACGACGACGAAGGCGCACCCGCTGGCGGCCCGCCCCCGCGCCGGGGCGCCTCGACCGCGCGCATCAGGGCGAGGAAGCCGGCGGTGGTGATGGCGCAGTCGGACCTCGGCGGGGAGCGGGGCGCTCTCGGGCCATTCTGGAGACCGGTTTTTTGGATCGGCGATAACCCGGGTTATCCTGGGGGGGGGGGGAGGGGGCTGGCCGATAACCTAACCCTTGCGGTGTGGGCAGCCCTGCATATGCCCGCGCCGCCCCTCCCGCGGACCTGCACAACCTGCAAGGTTAGGTTATCTTGGGGGGGGAGGGGGGGGGGGGGGGGCAAGCCCGATAACCCGGGTTATCGCCCGACCCTTAAAAACAGTCTCCTCGTGGCCGTGCAGTCACAGCATACGTTCGGGGGCTGCTAAAGGTGCCCCTGGCCCGAGGTGCCCCCGGCTTTCCGTTCCGCCGTTGGGGCCCCAGGGGCCCTCCGGGCCTCGTGGGGGGGTGCTCTGGAGCGCGTGGGGGTCTCCGTGGAAATCCTGGGGGCACCTTGGGCCAAGGGCACTTCTAGCAATGCCGGATACTTCGGAGGAGGGGCAGAATCCCCCTTCACACCAGTCTGGGTCGAGAACGATCCGAGACCAGACTGGGTGGGCCCAGGCCCGCAATATTGCTGGCGCAACTCCCTTTCGAGAACCGTCACAGGGCAACTCACTAATCGGCTTGACAGATTGGGGATTCGATCAACCTCCGACTACCGTCGTAAGGAACGCAAGGCCCGTTTTTGGCTCCAAGAGCGCCTGGGTGCGCGCGGAGCGCTAGGAAGAGCAGCCATGGAAGGACATCAGAAACAGCGAGCCCCGTCTGAACCCAAAGTGCTCCTTGATCTAGCGTCTTGACTGCAGCGCGGGGCCCCACCGGTCACGAACCATGATCTCGAAGCAGATCCAGACCTGGCGACGACGGCGGCAAGCAAAAATCAATCATCGATCCTCGATCCCTCCTCTTCGACCCTCGATCGACGACGACTCCTCCTACGACGACCCCCGACGGCCTCTGAAGATCTCCAAAATCTTCAAGAGGCCAGGAAGGGCTAAGCACGCACAATCACCTGCACATCTGCCCTCCCTTGGGGAGACAAAAAGGTACCGATACCGCTACTCCCGGGACCTCTCCTGGGGTGCGTTCTGACATGGATTTCGAGGCGAATCCAGCGGTGGCAACGAGGGCCTCCGAGAAGGCCCAAAAGAGGGAAAATGGGGGAAAGGTAGAGGTTAGGGTACCTTTTTCCTCCTCTGAACTCTCGGAATCTCGCATGCGACGGCAATGGCGACAGCGGCGACGGCGGCGACGGCGGCGACGACGGCCGCGGAGAGGCAGCCAGAGGCCACCAGAGGCTCCGCGGAAGTCCGCCGATGGCCACCCGAGGAGGCCGACGGCCGTCGACCCCTCCCCCCCCCCCCAGCGTCTCACTCTTCCGTGAACTACGTGGGCCCCTGGGGATCTGCACCGCCTCCTTGAAGGGGCCCTGGGACACACCAATAAATACACACAAACAAAAGGATTCTCATAGCTTCCCATACTTTCTGAGTGCTTGTCTTCCCCCCCCACTTCCCATATTTTTGCACATCTCCCTGGGAATCGACGATTGATTGTGTCTGTCTACGTGGGCCCCTGGGGATCTGCACCGCCTCCTTTCGGCGGTGGACAAGTCTCCCTGTAGTAAACCTCCCCTTAGTGAAAACGGCCTGGGACCGAAACCGACGGACCTGGACCAGCAAAAATGACGGCCGCGACGCCCTCTCGCGAACCGAAAACGGCCAATTCCTCAATCGACGTGTCAGGGTAGGAGGTCTATCCACCTCCGATCCTTGAGGCCAGGCTCTCGTCCCGAACCTCCTCTTGACGCGCCCCCAGGGGCGGCAGGGAGGCGGCCTCGCGAACGACAGGGAAAGCCACGAAGCGACCGGGCGAGCACGGCTTTTCTGGGCGACGCCCAGGTTTCAGGGTCGGCTGCACGCGAGAAAGACCGTAAGGCAAGAGTGGGCTCCCAGGGATCTGCACGGCCTTTCCCGTCGCTCGGACGCCCATCCCCTGTGTTTTTTTTGGTGTCGTGCGTGGTTTTTCACAGCGGCGTAATGACCGGGGTGGGGCTTTCGAGTGGACCAGAAATTTGGGGACCAGCCCTGGGATATACGGGGGGGGAGCGTCCATCCTCGGTAGGGGTGCGTCCGAATAGCCCCTGGGGGTGTATCCCAGGATTTCCCTCCTTCTCTTAGCCGCTTCCTTTTTCGTCGAAAAGCCGGAGGTTGGGATAGAAACATCGCCTCCGACGTAAGGCAAGAGTGGCTCCTCGTGTGCGGTCGAAGGGAGCGCGAGGCTGCCAAGTCAGAGCGCGCAAGCAACCGCTGTCGCATCGCGCTCAGGGGGGACCCCAGGTGAGCCCGCACCGGAGGGCTTCTCTTGCGCGTAGCCGAGACGGTCCTCCCGCAGACGTCGGCCCGCAGACCCATCCCGAGGAGCGCTTTTCTGCCCAGCATTTGTCGAAGCAGATGCACAGCCGCGGCGACGAGAGGCCGCCAGGAGGGTCCAAAAACTGGCCATCGCTCGGACGTCCATTCCCTGTGTTTTTGTTCGCTTTCGTGCGCGGCTTTTTTCGCCAAATGATCCACGAGGCTCCTCGATGGCGCTCGCCGGGGAAAAATGCCCCATGTCCGAGCGATGCCAGGACCAGGGCCGACGAGCTCTCCCCGGCGCTCCCCCAGACCCTGCCCTCGCGGTGTGATCCCGGCCATGGACCGAAGGATTGCAAAAAAACCAAGGATTGCAAAAAAAACGAAGGATTGCAAAAAAAAAGAACCGAAGGATTGCAATCCTTCGAAGGGTTTTTGTTTGCAATCCTTCGATGCTCGGTCCTCGAGGCTCGATCCTCGATCCTGGCTGGAGGGGGGGGGCGACGGCAGCGCCCGAGGGCCCGGGGGGCCACGCCCGAGAGGCCTGCCGGGGGAGCGGCCATGGGGCCACATGGGGAGGGCGGAGGCACGCGAGCCCCAGCTCGAGGGCACCCTACCGCGACTGCAGGTCGGGCGAGGCTCCCCCCCCTTGAACGAAGGATTGCAAAAAACCGAAGGATTGCAAAAAACCAAGGATTGCAAAGGATTGCAAAAAACCAACGATGGATTGCAAAAAACCGAAGGATTGCAAAAAACCCTCGCTTGAACGAAGGATTGCAAAAAAAACCGAAGGATTGCAACAAAAACGACATCCGACGCCTCGACAAGGCAACGATTTGTGCTGCCGCCGCTGTCAAAGAGAGAGCTCACCGAGCTAAGCACTGTCAAGGCAGTGGCAGCACGCCAGACGTGAACTGCCTGGTTGGAGGGCTGGTGCACTAGTGTACATGAGATGTTGGGTTTACGACGATTGTCAGGGGGCGTTTATGGGGCCTCTGCTGATGCATCTTCATCAGGGAAAAACAAAACGAAGGCTCAGGATGAAACCAGCTGGCCCTGAGGAGAGAGGCCGATCTCTGGCTCGATTCGTTTCTCAATGCTCGGCGCCCTCCTTTTAACCTCCCCGGCGGCCGCCACACTCTCTTCCCTGCAGGTCAGGGGCGCAACCCACTCTGCCTCGTCCCAACTGTTGCTGCCCGTCGCTCCGTGTCGTTTCTTCTCCTCCTCCTCCTCCTCCTCCTCCTCCTCCTCCTGCACTGTTCGGCAGATACAGCGCCTACGAATGCCAAGGACTTCCAACCTCTCCCGCGCGTGTGCTTGGTGGGCGTCTAATTACATGTGGATGTGTGTGTATGTATATATGTGTCTGTAGCGTTCAGCAGCACGCTGGATCACACCGAGGACGAGGTCAGACTGGACCGACTTTAGCCAGAATCGGGCAAGACTTCAGTCAAGCTGAACATGTAAGGAACAGAAGATGAGGAACGAAGGCCGTCTTTGGCACCGTTAGCGCCTGTGCGCACGAGGAGCGCTGGAAGAACAACCATGGAAGGGACTAACGAACAGCGAGCCCCTTACGAACCCAGTGGTCCATATCTCAGCGATTGACTGTAAACCTAAGGGTACACACCTGGCGCGGGTGCCGAACTCGGGTCGTACGAAAGGGGGGGGGGGACTAAAGGGGTGGTTTAGCGAACCAGCTCATCACGTGGCTGATTTTCATGGCGTTTCCCGGCGCTGGAGGCGCCGATCGTATCGAGGAAAGGGCTCGACGGCGGCGCCGAAATTAGCTGCATGCGCCAGATTTCGCCACACCCTTTCCGTATGCCCCCCCTTGCGTTCGACCCGAGGAAATCTCGTATTAGAGGCCTCCTAGATGGTGTCGGAGTAGATGGGGTCGGGGGATCGCGCCGCATCGCCGATACATCGGCGATGCATCGGCGGCGATGCATCGTCGACGTCGTCGATGCATCGGCGACATCGACGTGAATCAAATCGGGCTTCACATCGCGACGCGCAGGCAGAAAGACTTCGGTGGCAACTCATGGGAGCCTCCCATACCATCCTGTCGGCTGTTGGGAATCGACGCGAATCGACGCTGAGTCGACGCTAATCGACGCTGAATCGACGCGCTAATCGACACTAAATCGGCGCCTCCTCATCGACTCCCAGACGCTGATCGATGCCGGTCGACGTCGAAAACGGAATCCAGAGGGTATATCAGGCTCCCGTGCTCTGCTGCCGAAAGAGACGGCGCGCCCAGTGAGAGACTCGGGCGTTGGCAGAACTGGGTTTAGTGGGACCTGGTTTAGTGATGTGTACTGGGGGACGCCCCCCCCCGCCCCGCTCCACTAACGGGAACTGCCGTCACCCGAAAAACACCAGACCTGGTTTAGTGATCCTGGCCACTTTAGGGGCTCTGGGGCCCTACTACTACTAAACGGGTCCCCTTACCAGAGGTCCCGGCCTTACCCGAGAGAGACGAGGGGCGGACAGGTGCAGCTCGGCCGGGGCCGTCTCCGGCGTGGCCAGCGCCAGCAGCTGCGCCAGGTGTGCGGCGGCCTCTCCGACACGCGGGCCGCCGGCCGCCCGCGCTGGGGGGCATCGTCGTCCGCAGCCCTCGGCGGCCCCTCGGTGTGGCGTTGCTCGAGGGGGGAGCATGGCAGGGCTGAACCCAAACGGTGGTTTTAGTTTTCGTGTTTTCGTGTTCCCTCGTTTCGACTTCAATCCGCCTTTAACGCAGAACGAAATCGAAACGAAAAAACAGCCCACGAAATCGCCAAAACACCGTTTAGGCCCACCCCTGAAGCAAGCCACGGGGGGTGGGGGGGGGGGGGGAAAGGGCGCACCCCTTCTTCAGACCGTGGGGGGGACAGGCGGGGAAGCAGAAGACGAATCAGAGGGAGGCTGTGAACGGGCACCCGCGAGAAGGGAAGATCTGCTCGCCTCCTGGCGCTCGCCTCCCCAGCGAGCACGGATCTGAACCCTGTGTGCCACTGCGGGTGGTGGGCCAGCCGAGGACCGTGGCGGCCTGCGGAGGCCCTCGGTTGCCCTCCTGGGGACCTTCTCCTCCTCCTCCTCCTCCTCCTCCTCCTCCTCCTCCTCCTCCTCCTCCTCCTCCTCCTCCGTGCCGTGCCGCTGCCGCAGTGGACGACGGTTCCCGGTGACTCTCAGCGAGCCGTCGGAGGTCCTCGACGGCATCAAAAGTTTCGAACGTTCGGGACGTTGCGGCGGCGTCTGAGCGTCTTCAGAAGACTTCGGCGGTTCAAAAGTGCTCGGAGGTACTCCGAGGTTCTCGGAAGTTGTTCGTGCTCGCCGTCGCCGCTCGCCGTCGCCGCCGCCGTGATCGTCGTCGTAGGCGTCGTGTATCGAGGGCCGAGGTAAAGGATTCAGGCGTGGGTTCTTGGCCCAGCCCCCAACATGGGGGGCGTGTGTCAGGGGAGACGCGGTGCGCTGGGCAGTTCAGATGGCGCAGCCAGCCACTGCTCCACAATGGCGGAACGGAAGGAGAGGGATTACACCCGACTGCAGCGAAAGCTGCATCGCCATTCGGGCCGGAACCGCTCCTTGAAAACCGCTCGGTTCACGAAGGCCGAGGCGCTGTCCAGGGCTCACCACATGTGAGGCTACACCACGTGCAAAGCGACGACCAAGCAACCTCCCGTTCTATATGTGCGTAGCCACCTACGCTTCAGGGCGCTGATAGCACTGTGCCCTCACGTAGTTTAGCACTCGCTGTGATACTCTGTACACTACTCTTCTTCACTCTGTACAAGTGCCTTCTTAAGTGGATGATCAAGCGCCTTTTAGGGTCGTCTGGTGCCAAGGCTGAGCAGTCGTCTGCCAGGATTGCGTCTACGCACTGGGCTCCAGAAGCCAGCCTGCGGGACTGCGTCGCACAATACGGCGACTACTGTAGAGAGGTCGCACTCGACGACATTACTATTGTTACCATAATCGCAGACCGCGGCAGTGCTTCGTCAGCGTCACCCTCCTCCGCCTGCTCCTCCAGAGCGTCCCCATGATCCTCGCCTTCGTCCTCCTGCTCATCGTGCCCCTCCGTCCTGCACGCTCCTCCTCCCTCACCACGGTCCGAGGGAACTGCGGAGCCGCCAGCCTGAACGACGGGGAAACAGGAACACGACCAAACATTCTGGTCACCCTTGGAAGGCGTGGCCGGAGCTGGATCAATCCGTGAGGGAACCAAGGCTCGAAACGCGGTGAACAAGCTGGCACCATGATCGTTTCACGACGCAGGTGATCTGAGAAATCGACGGTGCGCCTCGTCGTTGAACCTCGGGCAGCCGAAGAGGCGCAGTTTCGCCACCTCCCGCGCGCGAGGAAGAAGGACAGAACGCCCCCGAGGGGGCAGAACACATGGAAACAACGATGAAGCTGTTCGATGTTTTGGCTCTGTCCCGTATCTTGGCCGCAAAATTTCCTACGATCGCCTCAAAGCGGCACCCAGAGCCTCGAGATTGCCCAAGACGGCCCCGAAGTGCCCCCCAAAGGCACCAAGATGCCGCCAAAATCGCCGAGGGTGGCCAAAAGAGGCCCCAAGATGGCCCCAAGACGCCCACAGGATGGTCACCTCAGAACGCAAGATAGCCCCAGGATTGCCCAACATGGAGCGAATATGACACCGGATACCCTAAGATGAACCAGGAAGGCCCCATGATCGCATACGATGGCCACCAGGCGGTGAACATAAGCAGCCACCATGTGGCGGCCAGCGATTTTGGGCGCAGCCCTGCAGATATCATCTCTAACAGTCAAAAGGACATGATACCCGTGGCTAACAATGAATGGCGACCGCCACGTACGAGTGCAATGCACAGAGCCGTTCACATGCCCCCCCATACAAATGAACACGTTTACCAACATGCTTCCTACATTCAATGCCCGTCGCGTGCGCGTGCAAGATTGGCAAGACGAAGCTTTCTGCAGGGCATGCTAACGAAAGTAAGCGATAGTAGAGGACTAGAGGGGCGAAAAGTAGTGGAAGGAGGAGGGAGAAAGACGCAGACGACTGCAATTGCTCGACAGCTGCTCACGCGCGGTGGGTCGATTCCTTGAAATGAGTGAAGCCCCGATCCGCCTGCAAGGCCAACGGCTCGTTGGCAACGGAGCGGCGGCGCGCGGGAAAAACGAACTGAGCAACCGCTGGGGCCGCCTGAGTAGACGCGACTGCCGTAGTGCCGAAGAGACGCGACGTGTCGGGGTGAACGCCCAAATCCCGGTGAGGGGCACACGGGGGCCTGCGTGTCCGCCAGGGGAACACAGGCGACAGCTGCGGTTGCGTGCGTCTGCGCGTGCCCTGGGTTTCTCCAACGGCTGCCCGCAATGGCTTAGCCGCTGGCGCCCGCCAATGAAGCGGGAACACCAGTTGGGACCCCTTGTCAGAGGCAAACCTATGGTTTCACCCACACGTGAGTTCATTACCTTCGCCAACTGACTCAGCAGGAAGGTACCCTCCCCCACCCCAAGCGCCTTGCGTAGGCTTGGCACTGCTCCACTGCCCTGCACGGATGTGCTCGGGTCGCTGCGGGCACTCCTTGAAACGAGCCGCCCAAGCCATCCCGTGCAAATCTTAGAACACCTTTCCTCCCATGTCTCTTTAATCGGAATCCGCACAACAAATGCGCGGAAGGACTCGCGGCGCTCGCCGAACCTGCCGTGGCAAGGCGCCGCGCAGCCGTCAGTGCTGCCTCTCCTGGGCGGAGACCGAAGAAAGAGCGAAGAGGAGGAGGGGCAGGAGGAGGTGGAGAAGGGGGCGAAGGAGAAGAGGCGAGGAAAGATAGAGGGATGACAGAGGAGAGGGTGGAGCGGGAGCACGGCGTCGAGGAGGGCGGAGGGAAGGAGGAGACGACTTAACCGTAGTGGTCTGTCTACGGCAACTCGGGCTCCCGCAGGGTGGCGCTAGGGTCTTTGCTGCACGGGACTCCGTTGCCACGTGCGCCACCTGCGGAGCTCGTACCAGCGCACAGGCAAGGCCAGGTTGGATCGTGAGGCCCAGCCCTCTGGAGACCTCACCGCAGGAGGCAGGCAAAGAAAAACTGTGGCGAAGGCCAAGATCAGCAGCAGAAACGCGCAGCGCAGGGCCGATTGAAGAGTGAATCACCAAAGGAAAGCAGCATACACAAAAGAATCACCAGAGTGAAGACGGCTACAATGAGTTGGCGTAGAGAAAGGTAAGGAGGAGGAGGAGGAGGATGGGGAGGAGAGGAAGAGGCGAGGAAAGAGGGATGGGTGACAAAGGAGAGGGTGGCGAGGGTGCACGGCGACGACGAGGATACGGAGGACAAGTACGAAGAAGATGTGATGATGATGACGACGAGGACGATGATGATGATGCTGATGCTGATGATGATGATGATGATGATGATGATGATGATGATGATGATGATGGCGATGATGATGCTGATGATGAGGATGAGGATGGTCGGGATGATGGTGTCAACGGTGATGATACTGATGCTGCTGATGATGATGATGGTGATAGTGGTGGTGATGGTGCTGATGCTGATGATGTCGCTGATGATGATGATGATGATGATGACGATGATGACGATGATGATGACGATGTTGATGCTGATGCTGATGCTGATGATGACGATACTGATGATAATGATGATGACAATGCGGAAGCTGTTGATGGGGCTGATGGAGATGATGAGGAGGAGGAGCATAAGGATGACAATAATGATGATGCGGGACCAGGTGGCGACGACGGCGGCGACGGTGGCGACGACCACGGTAGCGACGACGGCGCCGCCGACAACTGCGGCGGCGATGGCAGCGCTCTCTGGGGCGCGCGAGTGCGCGCGTGCGCACGCCGCGGCAGCGGCAGCGGCAGGTTGCCGACCGGGACGTCCGTCGTTACGATAGTGTCGAACAGCGTCTGCGCGGCGGGGGGCGGGGGGCTCCCTGCACTGCTTCTCCAGCTCAGCTCCCCAATGCCTCTTTTCCGCGTCACATCGTCGTCGTCCTCATCCTGTTTATCCTCCTCCGCGTCCTCCCCCTCCCCTCGCCCTCATCAGCCTAAATCTACCATGCCCCTCAGGGTTAGGCTGGTGACTCCAGGGCCGTTAATGACGCCGCCATGCAATCATCCTCCCCTTCCTCCTCCTCTCCCTCCTCCCCCTTTGGCGTTGGCCAGACCTTATGCTAACGCATGTGGCGTTCTTGAAGTGCGACAAACAAGTAAAGTGCAAACGACTCGGCGCAAAGGGTACCTGGTGGGCGTCGCATCTAAGACGGTAAATAGAGACAGCTTTAAAAAAGATAGCATAGGTGGTATAGTAGGCGCCCGCTAGGTAAAGCAGCATGTGCAGCCCCGAACGGAACAAACAACACTGTAATACATTGGTAATGCCAATGTTCATTAGGTACATGCTGCAATCAGTGCAAGGGTAAATCGTGCTGGAGTGCAATCATGCCCTGCTCCTCCTCCTCCCCCTCCTCCTCCTTCTTGTCCTCGTCCTCCTCCTCCTCCTCCACCGCCACCTCCTCCTCCGCCTCCTCGCAAAGGGATGCGTAGGAGGGGGGGGGCTTCGATGCCGCGGCGGTCTCGAACAGCGTCTGCGCGGCTGGAGAGACACCCTGCTTCCGTAGCTGCTGCTGCTGCTGCTGCTGCTGGTGCTGCTGCTGCTGCTGCTGCTGCTGCTCCTCCTCCTCCTCCTCCTCCTCCTCCTCCTGCTAAGGTCTGCCCTCGAAACTACATGCGATCCATCCAAACCGCCGGGCACTGGTCGCGCGCGGCTAACGCCCCGTGGGCGAATTTCCCCACAACCGCCCAAGGAACAGGAATGAGGAGGAGGGGGAGAAGGAGAAGATGTCGGTGTAAATGTGGAACCTCGGGAGTCGGATGGGGAAGGATGTCTCTTGGGCCTCGGAGTACCCTCCTCCTCCTACTCCTCCCTCCTCCTCCCGCCTCCTCCTCCTCCTCCTCCTCCTCCTCCTCATCCTCCTCCTTCACCAACTCACGCTGGACCTCCTTGGGGCCTCTCGGGGGCCCGAACTGGGGAGCATGGGCAGGCGACACCACCACCACAAGCGAGAGGCGCCAGGGGTCCTCCTGGTGGAGTGGTTCTCCCCCTCTCGCTCGAGACATCCCCTGTCCCCAGCTCGGGGAGGCATTGTGGATCCCCTCGCGGGGGAGTCGGCCCCCTGGTCGTGGTGGTGTCGCCTCTCCTCCCTCCGAAGTGAGGGGGGGCGATGGGCTCCCTGTGGCGGAGCATCCGGGCTGGCATCGGCGATGCGTTGCGAAGTAGGGGCCTGCGAGCCCACCCCGCCCAGGAGCGTGCGCATCTGCTATCGGGGGCCCATCGCCGATGCATCGGCGACGCCTCGCCGGAGCCGGCTCGAGGGATCTCCTCCCCCCTGCCGCGGCCCCCCCCCGTCCCCCAACGTTGCCCCCGACCGCGGCGACGCCATCTGCACATCTCAACCTCCGCTGCCCCAGACCTGGCCTGGGGCAGTGGACACGTACAGATCCCGCCGCCCCACCCGGCGACGTCGGCGAATCCGCACGCGGGCGCCCCCTTGAACGAAGGATTGCAAAAAAAACCTAGGATTGCAAAAAAAACCTTCGTCGAAGGATTGCAAAAAAGCCCTTCGTCGAGGTTTTTTTGCACGAAGGTTTTTTTTGCAATCCTTCGTCGAGGTTTTTTGCAATCCTTCGTTTTTTTGCAATCCGACGTCGGCGAGTCCGCGCGCGGGCGCCCCCGGGGCGCGCGGGCCTCGAAGTGCTCGGGGGCGAGGCTGCCGTTCTGCGCCAGGTCCAGGTCCGCCAGGGCGGCGCCGGGCTCCGCCAGCGCGGCCTGCGCATCGGGCGGCGCGCCCTCAGGGGGGGGAGGGAGGGAGGGAGGGAGGGAGGGAGGGAGGGAGGGAGGGAGGGAGGGAGGGAGGAGGGAGGGAGGGAGGAGGGAGGAGGAGGAGGAGGAGGGAGAGGAGGAGGAGGGAGGAGGAGGAGGAGGAGGAGGAGGAGGAGGAGGAGGAGGAGGAGGAGGAGGAGGAGGAGGAGAGGAGGAGGAGGGGAGGAGGAGGAGGAGGAGGAGGGGGGGGGGGTTCGCGTCGCGTCGACCTTGAACGATCGACCGCTCCCGAAGCATCAGGTCCTTCAACATCGGCCGATTCTGGGTCGCTGGCGGCGTTCAGCGTCGAACGCCGGCGGCTGGATCGCCGCCGCGTCGACACCACGCGAGCCGATCGTGTATCTGTGTCATCGCGCCTCGATGTCCAGACCGCGCGGGCACGGAGCTGGATGTGTTCGCTGCTCGTGAACAGAACGCCGCAGGACTCCTTCGCGCGCCAGCTCCTCTGCGCAATGCGGGGTGGACGTCGTCGGCGCGCCCAGGGGGAAGGCAGAGGGGGCTCAGAAGGTGCCCACTCTTCCGAGAAGCTTTCTGTGCCTGCTCCGAAGATGCAAAGAGAGATTCTCATACGAGCCACGAGCAAAAACGGGCCCTACGCGAGATGACATAGCGACCATACGCTGCGGCTGACGCGTGCCGCCAGCGCGGAACGCTTCATCGGAAACGATGGCGCTTACGCGCGACCTTACGCGGGGAGCTTACGCGCGAATGTCGGCGCAATTGAGCCCCTTCCTTGCGTTGCTTATATGGCCGGAGGGACTCTGACAAGCCCCGCCTCCTGAGAACGCCTGCCCCGTCACAATCACCCACCCCTCAGCGCGCCCCTGGCTGGAATAGTACCCCGCAGATCCAGAGGGTCGGGCTTCCAAAATCGAGGATGGAACTTCGAGGATAAAAGGATTTCGGACATTTCTGTGCTTGTCCGGGCCTCCGAAGAAAAGCTACTCGTCGCCACGGTTTCGCATCGAGATCTTCGCCAGAATGCACAGAATGAGAATGGAAGAATGAGACAACGCAATGATCTCTTTCTGATTTTTTTCTCTCCGGAGGCGGGGCCAGGGCGTACGATTTGAATCCAGCACGAGAATCGAGGAGGGGATCGAGGATAGGTCAGTCCATCCCCGATGAGGAGCGGGAGAAGAGCAAGGGGGGGAGCGGAGCTTCAAAGTGGGCGCCTGCCATTCTGTGAAGGCAGCGGCAGCACTGTGACGACGGGTGCGCTCGGAGACGACACCCGCCAACTGCCGCTCTAAGTAAGTGGAGCAGTGCGCCCACCGTGTTCTGTCGACAGCCTGGGACGAATTGGCCTGGTCTGATCTGTGAAAGGACCGTTCCAATCATTCCTGTGCCAGGCGTCGCCTCGTCGCCGCCCGAAAGCGGCTGCACTCTCACTGTACAAATGCTGGCCTGTGTCTGTGTCTGCCAGGGCACAAGTGGCTGTGGAGCGCCATGCCACACCCGCTGGCACGGCCGCTCACAAACCCTCCGTCTCCAACGACTGCGCTCGTGCGGGATGATGGAGGCTTAAGCGATGCGCAGCTCGCGTGGACCTCATCTCTCACTGATGACCGGCGGTGGCCATGCTGTCCACTGCAGCCTTCGAGTCCAGCAACTTCTTGGCGGCACTGGTGGGTTTGCCGTTCTTGACCGTGGAGGCCTCCTGGGGAGGAGTACTCTCAAGGACCTGCTTCACCAGTTTCGTCCCGTGAGTGTTGTCCTGCAGCTGGTCCTTGGCCTGCCTGAGCGCGCCGATGGCCCTCGCCTTGATGTCCGATGGCCCTCGCCTTGATGTCCGGGTCCTCGTGCACGCACAAAGTGTTGTAGACGTAGGAGCCGCAGCGGGTGGTAGCCAGCGAGGGGACCACGTCGATCAGGCCGTCCGCGAGGCTGTTGACGTCGCAGGGCCTGCAGCACTTCAGCGCGGCCTGGATCACGGAGCTCGCGTGGCGGTCCTGCGCGCAGCGCTGGAGCTCCCCGTTCAGCGCCTCGAAGATCTTGTTCTTATGCTCGGGATTGTTGGTGTTCTCCAACACATACTGGATCACGTGGTGGGCGAAGATGTGGCAGCACAGCGCCTGCGCCTTGTTGAGCACCTCCCTCAGCAGCTCCTCGAGCCCCGCCAGCTCGGAAAGGCTCGGGTTCTCCTGCTTTCTCTTGTACGAGCGCTGGAGCAGCCTGCAGATGATCCGGCAGCCATGGCGGTGGCGCGCGATCTGCTCCGCATGCTCCCTCAGGTGCTCCATGATGAGGCTCACGCTTTCAGCGGGTGCCACCTCGATCATCTTCGTAACAGTAGTTGGCGTGTGGCGACCCGGCCATGTCCCGGACGGCCGGGGCGAGCTCGACGTGCATCTTCTTAGTCGTGTCCGGATCGCCGAAGTCGAGCATGGCCTGTACGAAACGGCACCCGTCCTTGTCGAACGCTAGGCTCAGCGGGGCGCCTTGGGGCTCTTGGCACCGAGTCTTGAACAGCTGGATCACCTGTTCCCCCGTCTTCTGCTTCGGTCTGAACTTCCCGAGTTTCTCTTCCAGCTCCGCCCGCTCCTTCGCGGCCACGGCGCCGTCCAGTTTTCGCTGGAGCCACCAGACCTCGAGGTCGTTGCGCATCTGGTCCGCGTCGGCCGGCTCGAGCGCGGGCGGCTGGGGGCACGGGACCGTCGCTTCTGGCTCGGTCGGCCGGCCAGCGCGCCGCCTCTGGCCGAGCCCTGGCGCGTCCGCGTAGTGGCCGGGGTGCGGGGGCGCCACCCCGCCGGCGCTCCCAGCATACAGGCCGGAGAGGTCGATCGCGTACTCGCGCGGGTTCATGTCGATCAGGCCGGGGTGGTAGCCCATGAGCGGGCCCACCGGCCACCGCGTCCCGTGGGAGGGCCTGTGCCCCATCATCCCATCGTCGCCGTACATGTGCTGCGGGTGTTGCGACCAGTTGGTGCCGGCTGGGGCCAACTTTGGAGCAGGGGGCCAACTTGGCTGAGAGCCAACTTTTTTTTCCAGCGCATTTTTTGGAGAGGGGAGGCGGAGGCGAAAGGAGAGGGCGCGACAAACAAATGCCGATCTTCGAATCACATTGAGCAGCGCGGGTGTCTGGAACTGAACAACAGGCGGCACGAATTACCCCTTAAAACGCAACGCTGCTGCTCTGGAGGAAGAGGAGGAGGAGGAGGAGGAGGAGGAGGAGGAGGAGGAGGAAGAAGGGCGAGGAGGGAGGGAGGGACGAGACCTGCACCAATCAGGAGCTGCTTTTCGCCACAGCTTAGAAAAAACACTCTCCCAACAAAGTGTGGCTGTTTTCCCGCCGATGGTCCACGCAGTATCTGGACTGGAGTGGGGAAAACTGGCGAAGATGTGTTAGCATTTGTGTTTCAAGTTTCGAACGCGCCAATGACGGCGATTGCTTCCTGGACGGTTCCACAAGCGGCGGAGGAAAAAAAATATCCTGGCAAAGCAAGCTAACAGCGATGTGAAGAAGCATATCTGGAAGCATTCCCCTTAAGATTCAGATGAGAATCCAGTTGTAGAATTCTGCTGTTCTCGCAGCCGTAGTCGCATTCGCGATGACAGTCGCAGTGGCAACGGCAGTCGCAGTCACAGCCTCAGCCTCAGCCTGCCTCAGCCTCAGCCTCAGCCTGCCTCAGCCTCAGCCTGCCTCAGCCTCAGCCTCAGCCTGCTTCAGCCTCAGCCTCAGTCTGCCTTCAGCCTCGGCCTCAGCCTCAGCCTGCCTCAGCCTCAGCCTGCATCAGCCTCAGCCTCAGCCTCAGCCTGCCTCAGCCTCAGCCTCAGCCTCAGCCTCAGCCTCAGCCTCAGCCTCTGCCTCAGCCTCAGCCTCGCCTCGCCTCAGCCTGCCTCAGCCTCAGCCTGCATCAGCCTCAGCCTCAGCCTCAGCCTCCTCAGCCTCAGCAGCCTCAGCCTGCCTCAGCCTCAGCCTCAGCCTGCCTCAGCCTCAGCCTCAGCCTCAGCCTGCCTTCAGCCTCAGCCTGCCTTCAGCCTCAGCCTCAGCCTCAGCCTCAGCCTCGGCCTCAGCCTCAGCCTGCCTCAGCCTCAGCCTGCCTCAGCCTCAGCCTCAGCCTCAGCCTGCCTCAGCCTCAGCCTCAGCCTCAGCCTCAGCCTTCAGCCTCAGCCTCAGCCTGCAGCCTCAGCCAGTCAGCCTGCCTCAGCCTCAGCCTGCCTCAGCCTCAGCCTGCATCAGCCTCAGCCTCAGCCTCAGCCTGCCTCAGCATCAGCCTGCCTCAGCCTCAGCCTCAGCCTGCCTCAGCCTCAGCCTCAGCCTGCTTCAGCCTCAGCCTCAGTCTGCCTTCAGCCTCGGCCTCAGCCTCAGCCTGCCTCAGCCTCAGCCTGCATCAGCCTCAGCCTCAGCCTCAGCCTGCCTCAGCATCAGCCTGCCTCAGCCTCAGCCTCAGCCTGCCTCAGCCTCAGCCTCAGCCTGCTTCAGCCTCAGCCTCAGTCTGCCTTCAGCCTCGGCCTCAGCCTCAGCCTGCCTCAGCCTCAGCCTGCATCAGCCTCAGCCTCAGCCTCAGCCTGCCTCAGCATCAGCCTGCCTCAGCCTCAGCCTCAGCCTGCCTCAGCCTCAGCCTCAGCCTGCTTCAGCCTCAGCATCAGTCTGCCTTCAGCCTCGGCCTCAGCCTCAGCCTCAGCCTCAGCCTCAGCCTCAGCCTGCCTCAGCCTCAGCCTCAGCCTCAGCCTCAGCCTCAGCCTCAGCATCAGCCTGCCTCAGCCTCAGCCTCAGCCTGCTTCAGCCTGCTTCAGCCTCAGCATCAGTCTGCCTTCAGCCTCGGCCTCAGCCTCAGCCTGCCTCAGCCTCAGCCTGCCTCAGCCTCAACATCAGCCTGCCTCGGCATTCAAAATGTGGCCCGGGAACGGAGTTCTGGGAACTCGAAGAACACGAAGTGGCCTACAGTTGGCTCCAGGCATTCAGAATCATGCCCAGGAGTGGAGCTCTGGGAACTCGAAGACCACGAAGTGGCCTAAGTTGGCTCCGGGCATTCAAAATTATGCCCAGGAGTGGAGTTCTGGGAACTCGAAGAACACGACGTGGCCTACAGTTGGCTCCGGGCATTCAAAATCGCGCCAGGAATGGAATTCTGGGAACTCGAAGATTTCGAAGTGCGTTACTGTTTTCTTTTAAAAAATTCCCCGATTCCCGCGGCACCCGTCCGGCATCTGTCCGGCATCTGCCCAGACCCCCCCTGGGGAGTCATGATGCTCTCTTGTGACACCACTAGAAACCTATCAGTCTTCGCTGTGAAATAAATAGCACCTCGGGCGCACGCTGCGGCGCAGCCCTGCTGTGGTGAAATGCGCGGTTTTTTGCGACGTTTCGGGGGCGGACGGGCGGCTAAATGAAATAACGTAACATGCAACATGCACGAGCAGAGCGGGGGGGAAGGAGGGGGAGGGGGGAAGGAGGGGGAACATGACTGACCAGCACATCGATATCAACCAAGAGTTTCTTGCCACGCCGCGGTAACTAGGGCAGCCAGCGACGGATGAGCTGCGCAGGCCTCGCGGCAATACTGCCACCCAGCGCCGGCCGCGTCCGCTGTAGCGTGGTGTCGCGCCGCGCAGGAGGCAGCATACGCACAGTTTGCGGCCAGGGCACGACGAGCTAACAGAGGGGCCCTGCCCTCGGAAAATGAAGGCTCCAGAGCAACAAAACTCGAGAGACGAGCCGCTGGGGCGGGGCGGGGTAGACACAAGTGCTTGCAGCCTAGCTCCGCCAGGCAAGGGCATTGCGCGAAGTGCTGTAGACTGTCTTCGCCACGCGGACACCCGAAGGGGCAAGGTGCCCGACGTTCAAATCGGCGGGCGGTCGTCCAGCTGTCACACAAGGCCCTGTACAATGAAGCACAGACCCTGGAGGGCACAGCCGGTGCAAGACCGCGCCGAACTGCCAACGCTCGAGGCAATCGACGACCTAGAAGGAGGTGGAGGGGAAGGCGAGACAAGGCGCGTGACAGCTCACGTGTGATGCTCACTGGGATCGGCGGCGTCAGCAGCTGGCGGCAGCGCCGTGGCCACTGCGACCAGGGAGTCGGAGTAGCAGAAACAACTTGGACCAGCAATGCGACGGAGGTGCCGGTCCCGGCGGCGCGGGCCTCGAGGCGATACTGCGCGTCCGCGAGATGCATGATGAAGTTGCCAGTGTACCACTCGTGCCAGGTGGCCAACTGGTGGCGGTTGTCCGAATCGCTAGCTAATCTTGTCCAGCAGCAAGCGCCGCCGGCGTGGGATGTGCAAGGCCCCGGTGGCGTCGGCCTCCCATCGGTGTACCCTGCACTTGGCCGCGAGGGCTGTGGCGCGGGCATCGGGAAGCTGCGAAGGGAATCCCAACGAGCATAAATCACGCAAAGCGGCAGGTGACGTCCAGCAGCGAGGTCCTGGGAACAGCAGCGCGCATGCCTTCTGCTCATACTCGGCCCAGTCCGGCGGCAGCCTGTCAGCGGCATGAGGAAGCAAAGGACGGGGAAGATGTAGACGCGGTAGGCGAGGATGGTGATGGGCATTCCTCCGCCCACGGCCCGCCATGTCCGTGCACGCGACATGTACTTCTGCAGCGGTTTCGTCCACGACGATTGCGCGCGCTCGGGCCCCACCTCGAAGCCAAAGTGCATGGCGTGCCGGCGCACCGTGAACTCCCCCCAGGTGGGCGCTGCTGCGTGTAAGCGAGTTCTGACAATGTCCAACGGTGTCAAGGATAAGGGCACCCACACGCTTTTCCCCCGGTGAAGCCGGAGTCCTGGCAGCCGTTCGTACTCGTCAAAAGCGTGCTCGAGAATGGGCGCGTCCCGCGCGCTGTGGGCGAGGGCCACCGCGAGGTCGTCGGCGCAGGCGCGCTGGTTGGACTCCGGCACTAAGCGTGGCAGCCGACGTGACAGAACGTCCGACAACACGGCAAAAAGCAGCGGCGAAAGAGGGCAGCCCTGCCGCACCCCCGCGGTAAGCTCGAAGCCCTCGAACGTGGCGCCCTGGACAATGATCTGGCATCGGTTGTAGCGGTGGAGGGCCTTGACCAAAGTGATACACCAATCTGGCCAGCCACGGGCCACCAGCACGTTCATAAGAAACTCCTGGCTGACGGAGGGGTAGGCGGCCTCGAAGTCGAAAAAAATGGCCGCCGCGTCCTCGTAGTCCAATGAAAAATTCAACATGGTCTCGTCGATGTCTACGAGGTTCGCCAACATGGAGCGGCCCTGTAGGAAGCCGCGCTGGGAGCTGGAGATTCCCGGAACGACTGCTGGCTCGATCCACAGGCGCACCGCACTGGCGATGATCCTGTTGTCCGCGTTGGCGCGTTGGTGATGTTGAGAGGCCGCGTATTTGGAGGCCTGTAGAAGTCCATGCCGTCCGGGGTAGCGCCACTAGGCTTTTCCGGCAAGAACACCATGGAACTCTCATTGAAGTCGTCCCCGACCGTCTCCAGGAGGCTCAAACCGTCGGTGCTCACCATGGCAACAAAAGCATCGTACAGAGTACGGGCGGCAAACTCTCACAATTTTCGCCACGCTCGGAATGGTATACCATTGGGGCCAGGAGAGCTGTTCTTGGTGTGCCGGATGGCGCTTTCGAAACAATCGAACGGAACGATATCGCCAGGCACGTGCTGCCTATCCACAGCAGGGAATTGCGCCGCTTCGTCCGCGAGCCATTCTCGCCGCAGCGTTTCGTCGGTGCCCTTGCGGCTGAAGGGGGGCAGGGGGCAGGGGGCAGAATGCACACCAGGTCGTGGCTGGGGGCCAACTTTTGCAGCACGCCAGTGAGATCCGGGCGTCGTCAAAAGACACTGCGGTCGCAACTGTCTGGCAGCCCCCCGGCGTCTTGCCCAGGGTCCCTGCAAGTCCTTGGATGTAGATTCCCTGAGTGTGTTGCTGAGTTCATGGGACGCACCAAGAGGCCACATGGGCACGCTGTCTGTACAAGTGGGTCGTCCCACGCAGCATTTCCGCATCATCCTACTGTCTGAAGCTCCTGGATATTCACAGACCATGCAAAAATGATCGACCCACGAACCCAGAAGGGGAATGAGAACTGCGAGGCATGGAACCGTTTCTAAGGACCTCAATTGCATATGCAATTGGGCGATGCCAGGGGGACATGCCAGGGGGACGCGCCGCAGAATGTCCCAAGGGACGCCCCAGGGGACGTGCCAGGGGACGTGCCATGGGGACGCACCGCGGGATGTGTCACGGGAACGCGCTACGGAACGTGCCAATGGACGTGCCACGGGACGTGCCAAGGGACGCGCCGCGCGACGTGCCCGGGGGACCTGCCGCGGGACGCGCCACGGAACGTGCCAGGGAACGTGCTAGGTGACGCGCTGGGGAACGTGCCAGAGAACGTGCCACCGGACGTCCCTGACCCAGGGCCAAGATCCCTTGAAAATTACGCTGTGTCCGCGCTCCCAGGGCCACGATCCCGCGTAAATTACTTTGCGTTCGCGCTCCCAGGGCCACGATCCCCGTAAATTTTGCTGCGTCCGCTCTCCCTGGGCCACGATCCCAATAAATTGCGCTGCGTCCGCTCTCCCTGGCCCACGATGCCTCGTAAGCTACGCTGCGTCCGCGCTCCCAGGGCCGCGCTCCCTTGAAAATCCCCGATCCCGGGGGGCCCCTGGAAGCCCGACGGCACGCGAAAACTCCCGCCCGGCAGGGGGCCTCCCTGGAGGCCCGACGCCGCGCGACAATTTCTATCTGGAGAGGCCCGACCCCACGCGAAAACTCCCGCCCGGGAGGGGAGGCCCCCCGAGGCCCGACACCACGCAGAAATGTCTCCCCGGGGAGGCCCTGCACGCGAAAACTCCCCCGCCCGGGAAGATAGGCCCCCGGAGGCCCGACAAGATATGCGGCCCGGGAGGGGCGCCCCCCGGAGCCGCGACAGCACGCGAACGGCGCTGGATTCGCGCTCCGAATGCCAAGACCCCTCGTGAGCGACGCTGGCGTCGCGCTCCCAGGGCGAAGATCCCTCGCAAGTCACTCCGGATTCAGGCTCCCAGAGCCGCAGCGCCCCACAAATTGCATCAGAGTCGCGCTCACGGGGCCGCGATCCCCCGCAAACTACGCGGGATCCACGCTCCCAGGGCCACGATCCCTTGTAAATTACGCCGCGTCCGCACTCCCAGGGCCCCCTGGGGCATCCTTGGGCGTCGAGGTTCCTGAAGTCTGCAAAACAAGCGTTTCGCCCGAGGCATCCTCAATAAATTCTACAGAAACGAGCGTTTCGCTTGAGATGCCCGCAACAAACGGGAAAAATCAATGTGCCTGGTCATTCATCGAGCGGAACTCTAAAAACCCGCGTTTCGCTCAAGACGCCCTCAAACTTCAATTCCGCGGGTCCACCTCGGCCTCGTCATTTACCACGGAAAAATTCCGCCGGCCCACCTAAGTTCATAACCGAGGGTAAAAAACTAAAAGAGAACCCTGGGCCCGTGCCATTTCCGGGAAGAAGTCATCGGTTCCCTTTCTAGAATCTCTCGACAGCACCTTTGTGACGATGGAGGCCACTGAAGAGTCCTGCGCCCCGTCGCAAACCCCTTCGAGGCCAGCGAAGACGACTTTGGGCAAATGGAGGCCCCATACAGACTTATACGGAATCATCCTCGTGGCCGCGCTCTCCATGGGTACCCAAGGGCTGGTGACGCCACGACGCAAGGCGTCGTTTGCAAGCACCAGCGCGCAGTTGGTTCCTCCGACGACATGCTGAATCGTCCACGTGCTATCGGCCTGTGTGGCGCGGGAAGCAAAGTGCACACCAGGCCTTGAACCCAGGGCGGGCATCATGAAACAGAAGCGCGCACTTGTTTCCTCCGACGACGCGGTGGCATGGCGCAAACAAGCTGGACTGCAGCGGTCAGGCAACCAGCAGCAGCTGGGCCATGGAATGTCGTCCACTGGCGAGTTCGAGTCATCCTTGGTGAGGGGCAGGCTGTGCTGGCCAGCGCAATGGAACCACAGACGCACACGCACATAAAACGCAAACGCACACACACACACACACACAAACACGCGCGCGCGCGCGCACGCGCGCGCGCAAACACACACACACACACACACACACACACACACACACGCGCGCGCGCGCACACACGCACACGTACACACGCACACGCACACCCACCCACACACACACACACACGCACACTCACTCTCTCTCTCTCTCTCTCGCACACACACACGCGCGCAAACAAACGCACGCGCGATGTTTCCTGCTCCGGCGCTGTGAACCTCACCGACCCTTGCGATTCGGCGGGTGACGCAACATGTACTTACATCCCCACAGGTGGTGGACGCGCTCGAGCCCAAGTGTGGACACAGGCATGCACATGCACACACAAACCACTTGCCATCGGCGAGCGCGCACTCGGCGATGAATTGGTCACAGAAGCGGACTTCGGAGGCAGAGCGAGCAGCCAGCGCAAGCCAGACAGGAACAAGGGACGGCGGCCGAGAGAAGCGGCAGATGGTGGACAAGAAGGACGCACACGAGCACACCAGCACACAATCATGCGGGCAAGATTTATATCTATATCCACTGCGCCTTGGACTTTCTGGGAAGGGGCGCCAAAAGGCTGAGGCACAGGATGCGGGTAAAAATCTTGCCTCTCGAGGCGAAATGCTTATCCACTGGTTTCTTGGAAGGGAGCCCAAAACTCCAATGCGCAGTGGGTATGGCCACAAATCCTGCCCGTCTGCGTCTGCAGCCCCAACCCCTGACGAGGGCACCGCAAGGCTCTCCAGCAGCAGCTCGGGGCCGCCCTCCTCGTCCACCTTGCGCCTCGCGGCCACCTGCCGCGCCCCACCACCCGCGCTCGAGAGCACAAAGAGAGCCCGTGCACCTCCACAACGCCGCCCCCATACTTGGAAAGCACCTCGATCGAGGAAGCTTTTGGTCGTCCCGCCCAATCGCGGGCGCGGTGGAGATAACGAATCTGACTCACATGGCGCTGATGGGCGCCAGTGGTAGCTACTGGGCGCTAGTTGAGCGCTGTTCGACACCGCTGGGCTCTGCAGGACTCAATCTGGCGCTGTGAAAAACTGCTGGGCGCTATGGAGGGCGCTATGCGCCGATCTGCATTCCATCCAAGACGCGCGGAAGCTTCCGTGTCCTACGACCGAACCATGCCACACGCGATGGTCCGCTGCTCGCTGCACGGGCTGGTCGTTCCGCAAACGACGGCCCGCAGAGCCCAGGCCCCCGTCATGTCGTGAAACAATCGCGGCGGCCTCTGGGGGCCCTCGCCGGATCCCCGAGGCCGTCAGCAAGACGACTCGGGATGAGAAGCCTGTCCAGGGGATCGTGTCGAGGCATCCGGGGGTCACCGTTTTGAAAAAACAGCGTCAGAGGTCTGGGAAGGGCAGGGAGGTGTCTCAGAGGCCCTCCTGTCTCCTGAGAGGCCATCTCGGCAGCATCCGATCCCCTGCCCTTCCCCAAGGCCCCTGTACTCGTCGAAAGCATGGGTGTCGGCCTCCCCGGTGGCGCCCTCGAGGCGAGGATGGTGGCATCTCGTGGCAAACATCTTCATCTGCAGGCCCCCGACTCGGCCCACCCCCGTTGGCGCACCCCCAGGAACGCCCAGTTGCGCTTATCGATCCCAAATCGGTCGATTAGTTCGCGCAGCCGATCCGATCAAGCCGGACAACTACCAGGACAGCAAAGGCGTCGCTCTTGAAGAGATCCTTCAATCGTACAGCCAATTCACGCGCGACGGTGAATATTGTTAATTCCTCGGACATCCTGTTTCTTCAGGCTACCCCAGGGCTTCCTGTGGATCCCCTGACAATCTGGCACCACAGAATTCGGCGGTGCACCTGCTGTCATGCCGATGTGTCATTTGACGTGTCTGTGCCAATTATGCTCGCCCCATTGCGGGGCACAGCGCCGCGTAGATACGCAGGAAACCGATGACTCAAGCAATCCGGGAGCGGCGTGGTCTGCCTGGTGGTTTGCCTGCCCCTCAGATCCTGGCGCCACAACACATGTTGGCATGGTCGGCTTTCAACGTTTTCGGCCTCTGGGGACACCTCGCCAACCGCGGGACTGTCAAACAACGGATCAGCCAGGATGAACAAGAAACACGCCACGGGGAAAGTGACCACATCTCCAGAAGCCCGCGCCCTGACACAAAACATGATCGACCCACGAACCCGGAAAGGAATATAGAACTGTAACACATGGCAGCGTTTTCAAAGACACCTGATTGGGTGACGGGCAAATGCAATGCTGAGTGTATCGATCTTGATGTACCCTGCCGAGGGCTGTGCTGTGCTGCGCCGTGCTGAATTGCGATGTGCCATGGCGCGACTGTGCTCTATAGCCTCGTGGATCGAGTCCTCCTTTGCATCCGAGTCCTGACCGAACTGATCTGGATCTTAAGCTCGAGCTGCCTGAACACATAGTAGCTGCCCCAGAGCTAATGGACAGGGGAACATGCCAGGAGGACGCGCCGCGAAACGTCCCAAGGGATGCGCCAGGCGACGTGCCAGGGGACGTGCCATGGGGTCGCACCGCGGGACGTGCCAAGGGGACGCGCTACGGAACGTGCCAATGGATGTGCCACGGGATGTGCCAGGGGACGCGCCACGCGACGTGCCAGGGGGACTCGCCAAAGGACGCCCCACGGAACGTGCCAAGGAACGTGCCAAGTTGCAATGCTGAGTGTATCGACCTTGATGTACCGTGCCGAAATCAGTGCTGTGCTGCGCCGTGCTGAATTGCGATGTGCCATGGCGCGATTGTGCTCTATAGCCTCGTGGATCGAGTCCTCCTTTGCATCCGAGTCCTGACCGAACTGATCTGGATCTTAAGCTCGAGCTGCCTGAACACATAGTAGCTGCCCCAGAGCTAATGGACAGGGGAACATGCCAGGAGGACGCGACGCAGAACGTCTCAAGGGACGCGCCAAGCGACGTGCCAAGGGACGTGCCATGGGGACGCACCGCGGGACGTGCCAAGGGGACGCGCTACGGAACGTGCTGGGGACAAGCGTTTCGCTCGAGACATCCTGTCAAAATCATCTGAATTCCTACGCGCGGGACGCTGCACGCGCGAGACATCCTCGGAATTCCTGCGAGCGGGACGTGATAACAAGCATTTCGCCTGAGACATCCTTTGAATTCTGGCCCCCCACAAGGCCACCGCTCGAGACATCCTCCAATTTTGCAAAACCAGCGTTTCGCTCGAGACATCCTCTACAAATTATGAAAAACAAGCGTTTCGCTCGAGACATCCTGTCAAAATCCAAAGAAATCGAAATACCCGCGCGCGGGACGCGGCACGCGCGAGACATCCTCAGAATTCCTGCGCGAGGGGCGCTTTTCCGTGTCGCGGTCGGCTCTGCAAAACCAGCGTGTCGCTCGAGACATCCTCAACAAATTCTGAAACCAAGCGTTTCGCTCGAGACATCCCCAACTCTGCAAAACCAGCGTCTCGCTCGAGACATCCTCAACAAATTCTGAAAAACAAGCGTTTCGCTAGGGACATCCTCAAATTTTAATTCGCCGGCCCTCTTCCCACTCGTTATTTATCGCAAAAGAAATTCGCCGGCCCTCTTCCCGTCAAACCCGGGGGGAAACCATCTAAAAGAGAACCCTGGGCTTATGCCCCTTCCGGGAAAAAACGACGCCGGGGAGAGGAGGGCCTCTGCCGGAGCTCTCTTGCCCCCTGGGTCCCTCAGGGCACCTGGGGGGGCCTATAGGCACCCTGGAGACCGTGGACGCTCCCATCTCCTTCCGTGATGTCATCCTCGCCTTTCGAGCTCCCCGCCGGCCGCACACATACGTCCTGGGGCGAGGCGAGGGGGACGTCACGAAAGGGGATGGTTTGCTAGGGGTCGGCTAGGCCGCCCCTGAGCGTTTGGGCCACCAGCAACGCCCTTCATGCACGTGGGCGGAGGCACCCCGAGGGTGCCAAGGCCTCCAGCGCTGGCCCTGCGGAGTGCCGGCGAAGCAAATGCGAGGCGGGGAATCTCACCTGCACTCCACCCGCATAGCAAGGATGCGCGAGAGGCATGCCAGGGCCTTGGACGCCCACTCCGAAGCTTCTCGAGCGGGGCGCGGCCAGCGAAGCAGTGGCCGAGGGTGGACCGAGGGATGCAGGGGATGCATGGGGTGCCCCTGGGGAGCCTGCCCATCCTGCCCGGGCGGGTCGAGTGTTAATTTGCGAGGCGGGGACTTTACCGACCTCCACCGCCCCCGGGAGCCGACGAGTCGTGGGCCCCCAGGTGGCATTTTGACCCGGAGACGTGCGGGCCCCTGGCGCTCTGCGTCCATCCAGGTAGCCACCGCCTCCGGGGGTCCAGAAAGCTCGGTGACCCAGGAGGCGGGCTTGGATGGATCCCTGCCTCGGGGTCGCCCCGCATCGGAACACACGTCCTGCCTGCCCGAGGCTTCAGAGGACCGGATTGTTTTCGAGGCGGCGGCCCCCGACGGCAAGGCCGCACGTGCTCGGGCGGGGTGGGCTCTCGGGCCCACGTCTGCGATGAATGGGCGACGATAGGGAGTCGATGCACCACCCCCTGAGCCTGTCCTCCCCGTATCACGGACCCCCGACGTCCTGATGTCTTCACAGCGTGGACCCCCTGGAACTTTCGACTCCTTCCAGGTGGCGACGTCCGACCCCTTCCCCCGTCAACCATCGATTATCCCAAATCGATGGGAGGCGCAGGTAGTGTTCGGATCCCGCCACGTGTTCGACGAATTCCGAAACCTCACCCCCGCCGCCCATCGAGTGGTCTGAATCGTTGATCGGCGATGGCTCATCAGACTCGAACTTATCCCTATTCTTAACACGGGCACGAAGAAGCGATGAAGATCTTGGGGACGTGCCCTCAGGAACTGCGACAACCCTTACGATAGTCATAGAAGTGAGGTGATGCCACACATAGGGATAGGGCTATGCTTCTAGCTGGTAGATGGCACGGTCTGGATTTCGCAACCGACCTTCCCCGAGACCTGCCCTGCACTCCCGAGAGGCTCTCTGACGGCCCCACGCCCCCAGAGGTGGCCTGCCAGCACGCGGGCGCGGCTCGAGCTCTTCGAGTCGACGGAAGCCCCGAAGCCCTCGTCGCGCTCGCTCGATCGCGGGCCGCGTCGCACAACGCAGCGCGGCTCGGCAGGGGGAAGCTGCTCGCCGCGCAGGAAGCGGCCATCTGAGATCAGGGAGCTCGCTCAGGCATCCGTGGGGTCAACGGGGACCGGTGGCCACATGTGAACCCTAACCCCCGCCCCCCACGATTTCTAAGGGGGGAGGGGTCATTTCGTTCGGTAGGTCCAGAGCGGAGCGACCCCCCCCTTGAAATCGTGTGTGTGTGGGGGCGGGGTAGGGTTCACGTGCGGCCACCGAGGAGCAGCACCTGATCGAACAGCCGCTTCCCAGAGGGCTTGCCCGTGCACTGCAGCAGCGAGGCAATCCGGGGAGGCCGGCGAGTCGGCACGACCGGATCGCCAGAGTCCTGGAGGGCGCGCGGGGAGGAGCCCTCGACGGCGGCGGCGCTCGGACGGGGGCGAGGGGGCGGGAGAGGGGGGGGGGCGGGGGCGCGAGCCCCGCGGAGGCGACGGTCAGATCAGGGGCGCCTCGCCCAGGGGCGGGCAGCACAGTGCGTGTGCTCGCTGGCGGGTCTCGCCGAAGGCACGGACCGTCGGCTCCCGGGCGGTTCGCCCCCGGTCGTCCCCTCCGGGCCACCGGCGGGACCCCAAGCCTGGCCGCAGCTGGCTCGCTCCGACGTGGAAAAACGGCTTGGCCGGGTTGTCCGCCCACGCTCATGCAGGCCATGACGTTCGGCCTTGCCTGTTTGGGCACCGGCAGATCGCCAAATACTACGCCGGGGGTCTGTTGCCAGACTGGTAAAGAAAATGATCCCTCTCCCTCCATCCAATCCTGCGGCGGCAGAGGGATTGCCATAAGCATCAAAAAAGACGCCTCACTCTTGCCCTAAGTGGGACAGGATGTTGGAGCACCTTGAAACAACAAACAGCCAAGACACATTGGGGGAATCCCAAACTCGATCAACACGAAATATTTTCGTTCCTGCCCATGATAAACGGACAACTGTATGCGTGAGGTGGTTCAGCCACAGGTGCACTACTTCCACATCATTACTCTAATCGACTGGCACGTCCGGCAAGTCAACAAAATGAACACTAGATCAGAAACCGTGAACATTGAATACGCGTCATCGGCAAAATACTAGAACCGATCTTCCGTCAAGCTGGTGGCCATCATCCAAAGAATAGTGCCACGCTGGTGTCCGTGCGCATCTACCACCTGAAGTCAGCAGCGAACTCTAAGCACCCTACTTAGCAATATCCAGCGTATAAGTTGGATGGCCCACAACGCCATCGGGCTCGAAGTTGTAGTTGTTCTGGAGCTTGCTCCTGCCAGACCCGTCGTAGCCCGCGCAGGTCTTTCTGACGCGATTGCTAGCGAGCATATCGGTGAACATGTCGGGCAACCAACCCTCTGGTCTGGTGCGTTCTGACAAACACGACAATCTCCGCGTCCGCGAACTGCATCAGCGCCGCCCTGTCTTGAAGTTGGCGCATCGGGCAAGCGTCCACTCCATGTCGGATCCGGAAGGTCCTCCGCGACCGCGAGCTTGTCGAAACGCGGTAAATGAGCCGCACGACTGCGCGAGCTGCAGAATCGCCTTCACACGTCACGCTTCGTGAGTTGCGGGGTGAGACCTGGGTGGGTTCACACCATGGCCACCTCCAGCCATCAGACGTGGGCCTGAGACTGCCGCAGCACCCGCCGCAGCGCGGATTCCACGGTGGCTTCCAGGAGGGGACCAGCTCAGGGGAACAGCGTCGACCTGGAGTCGGCGATTCACAGTCGATCGATCGGCGATCTAAACACCCGATAGCGAATCCAGACGTTCCTGGGCGGGGTGGGCTATCGTGCCCCCATCGGCCCGTCGGCCACGGGAGCCGATGCGCCCGCCCCCCCTGAGCCTGTCCCCCCCCCACTGACGCTGCCCCCCTGAGGGCGCCGGTTCGCTGCAGGCCACCCGACGCCGCGGCCCGCGGCCGTCCCCGGAGGTCCGCGCGGCACCTCAAGGACCGGCGCTGGGCCCCTCTGCCTGGCGCGCGGGGCGCGCCGGGGGCGGCGCCGGACGCGCGGCGCCACGGAGGCCCACCGCCCAGCGCTGGTCCACGAGACCCGCGCGGCGCGCTCCGCGTGCCAGGCCGGGGGGGCCCAGCGCCCAGCGCCGATCCAAGAAACCCGCGCGGACCTCCGAGAAATTATGCGCTTGCCGTTCGGGGGCTGGTCGACGGAGGCAGCCCGGCGCTGCGGCCCGCGGCCGTCTCCGCCGGAGCGCGGTGGCCATGCAGCGCGTCGCGGGCACCGGGTCGGGCGTTGCTCACCAGGGGGGGCGATAACTGGGTGGGGAAGAGGAGGAGGAGGAGGAGCAGGAGGAGGAGGAGCAGGAGGAGCAGGAGGAGGAGGAGGAGGAGGAGGAGGAGCACCCAGGCACCCGGTGCCTCGATCTTTGAAAGAGGAAGGAAGGCCCCCGACCGCGCGACCACTTCCCCGGGACGGGTATTCACTCATCGCCACCCCAGTGCGCAACGCCCGATCCACCGAAGCGCGGCGGCCTTCCAGCGCAGCCCGCGCGCACTCCCCGGGGGTCCACACGCGCGCCGACGCGAGAGCCTCACAGGGCCCGCGGCCAGCAGAGCAGCGGCCGCCCCCGCGCGGTCCTCTCAAAGACGTACAGCGTGGCCGCTGCCAGCCCGGCGAGCAGCGCGGTGCCCCTCGCCTTCCGTGTCGTACGAACGACGACGACGACGACGACGACGGCGACGACGACGACGACGACGACGACGACGACGACGACGACGACGACGACGACGACTAGATCCTGGGGAGGCCCCGCTACCGCGCTTGCAGCGGTTGGTGTGCCTCGGAACCTTTCGCTCTTGGCGAAGCAATAATGAAGGTCCCGCCCGACGAATCGAGCCCAATATACGCACATTTGTGTAGCAGATTCTGTGCGTGCTTGACCTTCCAGTCAGACATGTGTCCACATACAAAGCCTGGGGAAAGGGGGGTTACATGAACCCTCCCACCATGCCTCCCCCCAGATCCCCCCCCCGCCCGCCCGAGCGTAGTGGAAGCATCGCGCGGCAGCGCTATCGGATTATATGAGGACGCCAACTATACACCTACACCGATCCTGGCAAAGCCCATCCTGGGCCCAGGATCGGTGTAGACGTCCTCCTGGCTTGGGCAGGAAGGCACATACACCGATCCTGGTCCTAGCCAGGATCGGTCTACATGTATACTTCGGCATTCAGGAGTGAGAAGTGTGGGGGGGAGAAGTGCGAAACAGCTCAAATGTAGCTAATTAGTTCTTCCCGGCGCGACAGTGTACCGAGGGAAGCGCCAGCGGCGGGGCCGAATCCGGCAGCATGCTGCCAGCAATGTTCGCACCCCTCTCCCCGGACCCCCGGCGTCATGAGTTCGGCGCAGCGTCGGCCCCAGAGAATTCGACCCAGTTCCGGGGACCGGCTGCTCAGCCTGCGTCGTTTGTTGACGGTCCCAGGGCCCGAGAAATGCCCCCAGAGAGGTCGGAAACAGCAACAACAACTTCTGTCGTGTTTCTCTTCAAGACGCGAGGTGATCCGTCCGACCCGAGCCTTCGTCGCCGCCGTGAACTCCGTCGGGCCAGCCGGGGGCGGTGGCGCTCGGCCGTGGCCCTGCCGGCGCGGGTCGGGAGACCAGCGGCCGGCGTCAAAGAGGAGCGGAAGAGCAAACATCTGCATCAGCAGAAGTTTCCAGAGGTCCGCGCGGACTTCTTGGATAGGCGCTCGACCCCTCCCTGGCACGCTCAGCGCGGCGCCCGAGGCGCCGCCGGACTTGCAGCGCGGATCCAGCGCCAAAAAGGGTCCAGCGCCGATCCAACAAATCCGCGCAGACCTCCAGAAGCTGACGTTAATTCAGATTTTTCTTCTTCGAATGAAGAGCCCGTTGAACCTGAGGGAGCGCGATAGGGGGAATTCATGGACCCCCAGAGGGCTCGACACAGTCCCCAGGACAGATTCTTCATCGCATCGCCAGCGGCGGAAATTTGTCTGAACTCTCACGGGGCAGCTTCACAACTCGTGGCAAGCATCTGGAATCCTGCTGCTGAAAGCTGTGGCCGGCTAAACCCATCGCTGTTGAATTCATGAACTATCCGTCTGAGCCGTCCTTTGACGGCCCCGGGGCCCCTGCAAGGGCCCCACAGAGGCCGAAAACAGCCGAACCTCGCTCGCAGTGCTTTTTGTCACGACGCGAGGGGGGCCAGGATCGTTGCCCTTTTCATGTGCACCGCCTCCACGAGGTTTTCTGTGACCTCTGCACCGTGGGTGCACACTCGTCGGAAATTACTGTTACATAGGATCGTTGCCTCTGAGGTCGGGGTCGTCCAAGAGGCGGGGCGGTCGAAACGGGAGGGAGTGCATATCATGGCCGGAGGCATGTGCGCGGAAGAAGCGGTGACCAAGGGACGTACTGAGAGAAAGTATGAAACCATGAAGTATGAAACGGTGCTATGACAGTCCTCGCGGTGACACCGAAGTCTCAAGAGATCTCACCGCACGGTTTGAACCTGCACGGTTTTGGGACCCTGGAAACCAAGATCGCCCGAGACATCCTCGGAGAACGACCCGAAGCCCAAAACCGTGCGGTCGCCCCGGATCCCCACCGACTCTCACCACCAGGTGTGGTCACCACTCCGTCTGCGGGAGGGACTTGCCGCGGCCTTAGAGGACATCGAGACTTCGCGCAAATCGGGACTCCATCGCACGCTTTTTCGGCCCAGCGCTGCTAGAAAAGGCGGCGGAAAATGACGGGGAGGAAAGTGACATGCAGGGCAACCTTGCCTGGATCGAAGGTTTTGGACGCCCGACATGGGTATGGAAAACGCGGGTACGATGCCAAACACAGCATGCTGCCGACAGCGGCCGCTAAAGGCCAGGCGCCCTCTTGTCTCACATGGACAACGTCCGCGTCGACGCCGACAACGAGCCCTGTTCAAACAGCACAAGAACTGCTGTCTGGCAGTGCAGCCATTCGAGCTCGTCTACCTGGAAGCCCGAGTGTTACCACCATCGCCGAGATCGGGATCATCTCCCCTCTGTGGAGGCACACCACATACATCTGAGTTGGTGCTAGCCTTTAGTTGAACAGACACCGAGCGTCCCGGCATTCCTGTAGGCCTACCACGACATGCTCACAGAACGAAGGCGTGTTCTAATGCCACAATTTGTTCCCTTAGAGCAAAAAGCCGATGCGTCAAAACAAGACGGTCTCAGCAAGACATGTTCGAAGAACATTTCGTGTAAACCGCAAGCAGTTCTTAGAACATTCTTTGGTGGGTCTATAGCAAGCCAGGGCGCCTCGCCACTGCTTGGTCGACATCCCTTCTCTGAATCAAACGCAAGCTTTTCCCACGACCTTGGCGACGCCACCGGGACCCTCAAAGTCAACGTTGACGCCGAAACTGGCGACTGCCACTTTTCTGGCTGACCCCACGGGCCGCGCTGCGCGCGTCCAGCCGCATGGCAACCCGAGGACGAGGGGGTCGGATAGAACCTTGCGCCTCATTTCGAGGCTTGGGAACCTCCGAACACAGCTGTCTGCCCCCGAGAACCACTCCGTCACCTCCGCTGGGGCGGCGGCGGCGGGCGGCGCGGCCGCCGCCGGCGCGGCCGCCGGCCGCGCCCCCGCTGCCAGAAGGCGCTGGGCCTCCTCGTGGCGCGCTTGCAGCTCGACAAAGGCCCGGCACGCCCGGGCGCGCTGGGACCGGCCGGAGGAGCGCAGCGAGGCGGCGCACACAGGAGGAACCAAAGGAAAGGCGACGCCAACACCAACAGGGCGAGGAGGTGCGAGGAGGCAAGGGGGGAACTCCCTGGTGGTGTGGCTCCCCCCCCTCTCGCTGGAGACGTCCCCAGCCTCCAGCTCGGAGAGGCATCGTGGACCTCCTCGCTGGCGGCGGGCCCCCTGGTGGTGTTGGTATCGCTTCTCCTCCCCCCGACACAGTCGGGACGCCTTGTGGCCGATCCCTCGGCAGGGATGGCGGTCACAAGGACCACAACGATCACAACGAGCCATGCTTGATTCCTGCTGCACCCAGTGAGAATACGTGGCGCGGGATGAGAAAAAGCTCGCCGAGGACTTGACCGACACGGGTAAAGCAGAAGAAAAACAATGACCGTGGCGATCACAAAAGAAAGGGCGTAAACATAAACTGTCGACGTTCCGGACGGATCCTTTGGATCTGCGCCGGAGCGCGCCGGGGGCGGCGCCGGCGGCGCCGCCGAGGGGGGCAGCGCAGATCCAAGCAATTCGCGCGAAGCGTCGAAAATTCATGTGTTTGCTGTTTTTTTCTGCTCCCATGCTATTTTGTTGTCGTTGTTATCGGTGTCCCAAGTGGGTCCCTCATTCTCCCCCTCCCGCCCCCCCTGCTCGCCCTTCCCAGTGGCGCAACGAGGCGGCGGGGGGGGCGTCCTGGCACAGCAGGTTCGTCACATGACGACCCCATGCGTTGGTTTCCCACGCCGCGTGCGTCGTTCAGCTCGGACATGAATAAAACCGGGTGGGGATGAATCCATAATCTCTGAGATCCCGCATGCTCTGAAACATCTCGGGCGCCGCGGCCTGCCCAGAGAGCTCCGGGACGCTCTGAGAGCGTTCCGGAACGCTCGGGAACGGGTTCATCCTCGTCCTGGCCCAGTCCGGCACTAGGACAAAAACGACGGCACGAACATAGTTTGTTGGCGCTCCGCGCGCTTGGATCGGAGCGCGCCAGGGCGGCGCAGAGGGCGCCGCCGGGAGGCCCCAGCGCGGATCCAAGAAGTCCGCGCGGAGCGCCAAAAGTTTATATTTATGGCGTTTTCCATGTTCGACTTGAGCGATCGGCCGCTGTTCGATCGCCGGATCGCTCCAAGGAGGAAGGGGAGGCGGCGGAGGAGGAGGAGGAGGAGGAGGAGGAGGAAAAGGGGGAAGAGGAGGGGGAGGAGGAGGAGGCAGGAGTGACGAGGGACGAGGGCGAGGGACGAGGGCGAGGAGGGATGAGGACGAGGAAGCAGGACGAGGGCAGGAGGACGAGGGCGGGGAGGAGGGAGGAGGAGGGAGGATGAGGGAGGACGAGGGATGAAGGACGCAGGCGAGGGACGAGGGCGAGGACGGTATTGGCATCGTCAAGATGCGGTTCGTGCTGGTTCGACAGGCCGATGATGCAATCGGCTTACTGAGGAGGGAGGGGGACGAGGGAGGAGGGAGTCCACGCTCCTGGATCATCCCTTCCCCCAAAAAATTATCCAGGCGAAAGACCCAACCATAAGCAATTGTTGGTAACGCGTTGTGGGTGCCGCTTTCGGTGGGGCTCCATATGGGGCCACGAAGCGCTGCCTTGGATGGGGGAACCGCATGCGGACTGCGCCACCGGGGCGGGCCTTCGGTGGAGCTCCCTATGGGGCTACGAAACGCTGCCCTGGGTGGGGGAACCGCATGCGAACACCCCCACTGGGGCCTTCGGTGGAGCTCCCTATGGTGCCACGAAACGCTGCCCTGGGTGGGGGAAGCGCATGCGAACTGCGCCACGGGGGCTTTCGGTGGAGCTCCCCATGGGGCCACGAAGCGCTGCCCTGGGTGGGGGAACCGCATGCGAACACCCCCACTGGGGCCTTCGGTGGAGCTCCCTATGGGGCCACGAAACGCTGCCCTGGGTGGGGGAACCGCATGCGAACACCCCCACTGGGGCCTTCGGTGGAGCTCCCTATGGGGCTACGAAACGCTGCCCTGGGTGGGGGAACCGCATGCGAACACCCCCACTGGGGCCTTCGGTGGAGCTCCCTATGGGGCCACGAAACGCTGCCCTGGGTGGGGGAACCGCATGCGAACACCCCCACTGGGGCCTTCGGTGGAGCTCCCTATGGGGCCACGAAAACGCTGCCCTGGGTGGGGGAACCGCATGCGAACACCCCCACTGGGGCCTTCGGTGGAGCTCGGGGCCACGAAACGCTGGAGCTCCCTATGGGGCTACGAAACGCTGCCCTGGGTGGGGGAACCGCATGTGGACACCCCCACTGGGGCCTTCGGTGGAGCTCCCTATGGGGCCACGAAACGCTGCCCTGGGTGGGGGAACCGCATGTGGACACCCCCACTGGGGCCTTCGGTGGAGCTCCCTATGGGGCCACGAAACGCTGCCCTGGGTGGGGGAACCGCATGTGGACACCCCCACTGGGGCCTTCGGTGGAGCTCCCTATGGGGCCACGAAACGCTGCCCTGGGTGGGGGAACCGCATGTGGACACCCCCACTGGGGCCTTCGGTGGAGCTCCCTATGGGGCCACGAAACGCTGCCCTGGGGGGGAACCGCATGGGGGAACCGAAACATGCACATGGGGCCTTCGGTGGAGCTCCCTATGGGGCCACGAAACGCTGCCCTGGGTGGGGGAACCGCATGTGGACACCCCCACTGGGGCCTTCGGTGGAGCTCCCTATGGGGCCACGAAACGCTGCCCTGGGTGGGGGAACCGCATGCGAACACCCCCACTGGGGCCTTCGGTGGAGCTCCCTATGGGGCTACGAAACGCTGCCCTGGGTGGGGGAACCGCATGCGAACACCCCCACTGGGGCCTTCGGTGGAGCTCCCTATGGGGCCACGAAACGCTGCCCTGGGTGGGGGAACCGCATGTGGACACCCCCACTGGGGCCTTCGGTGGAGCTCCCTATGGGGCTACGAAACGCTGCCCTGGGTGGGGGAACCGCATGTGGACACCCCCACTGGGGCCTTCGGTGGAGCTCCCTATGGGGCCACGAAACGCTGCCCTGGGTGGGGGAACCGCATGTGGACACCCCCACTGGGGCCTTCGGTGGAGCTCCCTATGGGGCCACGAAACGCTGCCCTGGGTGGGGGAACCGCATGTGGACACCCCCACTGGGGCCTTCGGTGGAGCTCCCTATGGAGCCACGAAGCGCTGTAATGGGTGGGTGAAACGCAGAGAGGAGGGAGGAGAGGGAGGAGGAGGGAGGAGGAGGGGGAGGAGGAGGAGAGGAGGAGAGGAGGAGAGGAGAGGACGCGGGCACCGTC